GTGACGGGGCAGCTGCCCGAGGACCGCGCTGGGGGGGAGGAAGTCGCTTGCGAAAGGAGAGAACGGACGGCTGGAGAGATTTTGCATAGGAGTTTGCAGAGACACTGCTATGAGGGTTAACTCCATGGGCCATCATGGAGCTACTGGCAGAGGGAAGGGTGGCTGTCGCTGACCCAGCACCAGGGCCACCAGCAGGCCCGTTCGGAGGCGCCCCGTAGCCATTGACGGCGCCTACGCCATTGGTAGGGGCAGATTGGGCATGGGGGGGATTATGGCCGCGAAGGGCAGGACACTCGAGGAGATGTTGCTTCTGTCGACTGGTGTTCTTTGCTCTGATCTGCTGGCAGTATATGCATTGGACGGAGAGACACTGTCGATACGGGCCGCAGATATATAGGTCAGTAAAGTTGATGTTCGTAAGTATGATTATTACACAGGATAATTACAAGCAAATACAGGCAAGTTTCACCTTATCATCCTCCTTGGCGCGAAACTCGACGAAAGCCGCGTGGACCTCTTGGTCAACGGTGCGACCCATCGTATTATTCGAGAAAGCAACACGATGCGGAAGGAGAAGCGACGGATCCAGGAGGGACGACGTCTTGACGGCGAGGAGGGACTCGGGAGAGATGGGGCGGGCAAGGCACGATGCCTGGTGGGCAGCCGGGCGGCAGAGAGGCTGCAGGGAGGCGACAACAGAGGGCGACGTCGAAGTCGAGAGGCTCACACAGAGACAGAGATACAGAGCCAAGGGAGAGTCGGAGCGAGAGCGGGAGCGGGAGTAATTAATGGAGACAGTTCGCGTCGAACAAATACAGACAGCAGCGGAATACTGCGTTTGGGTGTTTTGGGTGTTTTGGGTGTTTTGGGTGTTTTGGGTGTTTTGAACCAGAAAGAAAAGGAACAAAGAGAGGCAGAGAGGAATGTGTCAGGTATTTCACGGATTTCCGGTTTTTTTCAGCGGCAGCAGGCCAGCGGTGCTAGGCGTATCCTTTGTCATTACGGCGTATTTGTCAGTCTAGGGGTAATCGTCAGAAGACCCAGTAATAGTATGGTGCGGGGGCTGTGAGCTGTGTGACGGGTTCGATTACCGTCACCGTTCTGACGGAGCCATACACGCTGTTTACGACTGTGGGTTGTTATGCGGTTCTTTATGCTTCGAAGTGTATTTCCGGTGGGAGAGGGATGCTGCTGGAATGGAATGCTACTGAGATGTCAGAAATAGTTATAGCCATCATCATGATTGTTCCTGCATTGATAATCGAATTCACTCAGCCACCACGGACAACTTGCCAAGTAACTTGGCTTCGTCAGCTGTGTATCGGAGACAAAACACGCAGCACGACAGCGAGGGTCGTATTCGCACTCCTTGCGCAATACGCAGTACTGTTCCCGCTATCTCAAACTTTCCAATAATACACGCGTTCCCAGCAGCTTACCATACATAGTACGTACAGATACTTACTCTGTACAGACTTTCACGTTCGATTCCAAGACTCACGATGGTTCCTCTTCGACAAACTAACTTGAACTCTCTCAGTATGGCACAAAAATCTCTTTGTTGATTGATTGCGCATGAGATAAAGGCAATTCCTTCATACTGCGTAAATCGCAACAATAGATACTATGCTTAGCTGGAAGAGTTAACGAGAAGCAACGGTGATAATACACATCACGTGATCATAATCTTTATCACAACATCGCGAGATCGCCCAAACCTCTTTACCAAGATAGGAAATTTTCAACCTCACTTCCACGTTACAATAGGATCAAGCGCCTTATTATGTCTATCCGTCGCTGACATTGATTGCAGCTATGGTGGAATAGAGGCATTGAAACATTCAAACAGATGGCCGCTAGATCAGTGATTCAATGATAAAAGCTGAGCGCCTTGGCCCAGGGTGGCGGTGGCAGCCCCTCAACCTGGCCTCTCCTTTTTTTGTCTACTTGATACCCCCTTTGCGCTGCATCGACGTGAATTATTGGAGTTTCCATAGAGTCTGAATTCACCTTTCTAATTTTTTCTTTTTCTTTTTCATTGCTTGGCTTTTTTTATTGCGTTTCCCCTTTTAATGCTTCAATCATGCGCTCCACAGAAGTTACCCGTTTGGGCCATGACCCCATCGCGCAACCGGATATGGCCTTTGGTGCAACTCTCCGGCACTCCTTTCTATCGTCTAGTTCAAGAACGTGGATTACATCCCCGCAACTTAGCAATTCTGGAGAAAAGTTTTCTCCAGAAGCTTTCCTGGGAGTGACGACCCACCTTTTGACGAATCCCAATATAAACTGTAGCCATGTTTTCCGAGCCGATATCTTGTACGATAGCGCAGGTGTTCTACAAGATCAAAACAACAGGGAAAAAAACTGCTCTAATTCTCCCTCTAAAGGGATGGATGCTGAACAAACAAACAGAGATGCTCCATTAGCCATGCAACTGGGATCGTTCCCTGGCTTCCGCCTTACCAGGACTGTCGTAAGACGATTCGTCCCCAGAAAGCAAATAGATCGTCCAATAGAACAAACCTGTCACTTCTATGAAGGGACATGCAATGTAGATATATCAGATGCTTCGCGTATGGCGAAGCATCGCGGCCTTGTTGTTTACACCCCTCACATTCGCTCAGAAAGCGAGATGCCATATTACCATCCATCGGTACGAGCATTAGCCCTGTCATACGATCTAAATTGTTCCGCCAAATCCGAAACCGAGGATTCAGGCACCCTCTCCATTCACTTCTCACCATTTACCCCTGAACTTCCGCAGTCTATTGCATATCGCCTCCAACGGACGTTGCTGGCCCTTTTATCGACTCACTTACGCCTGTCGAGGAAACCCTTTGCCGCCGCTGGGCCACCCAGATCGAAAACGGCGGCTCCAAAGGATAACATCGTCCCACAACACTTTGTGCAGAATACCTATTCGCGATTGAAAGAAACATATGCAGCACCTATAATGAACAGTTGGGTTGAAACTACCGAACCTTCCAAGCACGTTTTCGAGGACATTGCGATCGCGGCCTTTCTAATTGAACTGTGGAGGGAAATGTACAGCTTACCTCTTTCTAAGGCAGAGAGCTATGCCAATGAGGCGGAAAATAGCCTTCCTGCTTTTCCTGGTTTCGTTGATATTGCATGTGGCAATGGCGTCTTGACGTACATACTACACGCAGAAGGGTATGACGGGTGGGGTTTCGATGCCCGCCAGAGGAAGTCATGGTCTACATTTCCCGCATCAACACAGGACCGCCTTAAACAAATTATATGCATTCCCAAGCCGTTTAAAGATGCCCTTGAACAACACATGGATGAAGACTCGAATCTGACATCCACCCAGAAGTCTCCATCCGCCATTCACGACGGAATTTTCGACAAAAATACCTTCGTCATCTCCAACCACGCCGACGAATTGACAGTATGGACACCCCTCCTTAGCGCCCTCTCGAACCCTGAGAACCCTTTACCATTTCTCGCAATCCCCTGTTGTTCACATGCTATATCCGGTATGCGCCATAGGTACCCAGCCCCCAAATCACAGCCTAAGAAAAAGGATCCGAACAAAACGTCTCGCGCAACAGAAATGCCCTCCAACACCAACACCAACAACATCAAAAATAACAACAGCGTCCATGTTATCAACGGCAGCACGAACGCCACCAGCCAGCAACAGCAGAAACCGGAAATGGAGGAAATATCACCAACAGCGGCAGCGGAGGCCGAAGAGCAACAAAACCCCCAACCTTCCATCGGCAACCTGAAGGAGCTCCGTGCCTTGAGACTCGAAGAGACCACAAACCCAGACTGCCAAAGCTCCGCGTACGCCTCCCTTACTGCGAAAGTCATGCTGGTGGCCAGAGACGCAGGGTATGGTTCTGATGTCGAAAAGACGCTGCTTCGCATCCCGAGTACGAGAAATGTTGGCATAGTTGGGGGCGTGAAGAGGATGAACCAGATGAATCGGATGAGTCGGATGAGTCGGATCATGGGCGTGACGAAGGGCGGGGAGACGGGAGTGGTGGAAGGAGAGGGCAAGGGAGAAAAAGTTGGTTCGGGTGTGGAGTTGGGCTTTGCGTTGGGTTTGGTGAAGAATGTTAGCGATGTTGTGGAGCGGGAATGTAGAAGGGATGGGGGCCTGAGAGTTGCGGCGAAGCTGTGGGTTGAGAGGTCGTTGCGGTTGCAGGAGCCTCAGGGGCGGGGGAGGTTGAAGGGGAGGGATGGCCATGTGCATTGATGTAGATCGATAGTGAGTGATATGGTTAGTTAGTAGTTAGGCCTTTTGCGAGAGCCTGAGGGATATTGCTGTTTTAGGAACCATGTCTTTTCCCCGCCTATTGGTGCACGCCGAGCGTCATTATTATTTTAAGCTCCTTTCTACATAGTTACAAGTGACTGACAATATATCAATTATATTTCGATCAAATCGTTAGATATCAACAAAAGCCCAGGTTCTGGAAACCGTGCAAGCGAGTCTCCCAATAAAAACCATAGAGAAAAAGGAAAGAGAAGAAAAAAAAAAAAAAAAAAAAAAAAAAAAAAAAACTCCAGGATGACTCTTCATCTAAAACAGCCACTCGAAGAGTGTCCAAATCATATCATTCAATGGACATCAGGCACCCACACAGCGCTGATCCCCTTTCAACAATTAATTTCTCACGCCCCAATGTCAATCCCCTCCACCCCGCCACCAATCTCCCTCCCCTTCCCCTTGCCTCTCGCCTTCAAGACATCTTTCATCCTCAAAACACATTTTCCAAAATCCATCTGCTGATAATTCTCTGGCACATACTCCCCACTAACGATACATAACACCTTCATCCCCCTCTTATACTTCAGCCCACTAAGCAGCTTGGGCGTGATGAGGAAATACTGGCCCCCGCCATCTCCACTCTCACCCGAAGCACATGCAATATCTACCATGCGCTCATGCACCATCCGCTCGTTTCGCGGGTCCATGCCCTGGTTGATTTCATCCACGACACGGAACGGCGAGGCTGAAAGCGACTGTAGGGCCATGAGGTAGAAGATCGTGCTGACTGCCCGCTCCCCACCAGATTGCCTATGCGCGTCCAGGACGGAGAAGTTTTCGTTTTCGCGGAACCTCACTTGGATGCGGATGGACCACTGATCGAAGTCATTTGTGCGATTCGTACCGCCGTTGCCGTTATCGGTCTGAGTAGCGCTAAGCGCAACGTTCTCGTGTTCTGGCGTGACATCTTCCGCCTTGTCGATGCTCACCTGCCCTGCGCAGCCGATGCGGGAGAAGGAATCGGCAAAGGCATCGCTGATTCTTTTCACGAGGTTTTCAAGTCTAGGTTCCCACTGGCCTCGAACTTCAGCGATTGCTTCGTCTAGCTCATTGAGGTTTTGCTGGAACTCAGTAAGGTGTTCTTTGAGTTTGTCGATGCGCTCCTGGCGCAGTTCAAACTCTTTAATCACGTTGCTATTACCTTCACCAGCAAGTTCGAGAGCAGCTCTTTCAGAGTCAATGTCGGCCTCGAGCTGATCAATGGTGTAGCTCTTGATTGCTTCGACAAGCTCCTTTATTTCACCCGTCTGCATGTCTGGGTCGGCACTGACGTAGTCTACAAATTCTTTAAAATCATGACGGCACTTGTCCACCCGCTCCTTCAATTTGCTACATCCCTTTATAGCATCCTCGACTTCTGCCTTTTTACTCTCGAGCATTTGGTTTACTTCCGAGTTCCTCTCCTGTAGGGTGTCAAGGTCGGATACAGCTTCAAGGAGATTAACTTCCGCTAAAGCAAGATCCTCAATCAAATGTTGGAATTCATCGACATAATTCTACAGGACAGTTAGCATCGGAAAATGTCTGCCATTCATTGGGGAAACTTACAGCATACTCTAGAGCTCTGGCAGCCTTTTCAAGGGAGAGCTGATCCTGTTTGTCGCGAAGTGCTTCAACTCTCCGTCTCACACCGACTATCGCAGCTTCTGATGCTCGGAGTTTATCCTCTTGCTGAGCTAGAAGAGGAGTTAGCGAATGAATGGGCACATGGAAGTCGCAAAGCTTACCTTTTTTAGTAGGCAAAGCCTTATAATTTGTTAAAGCAGTTTGCTTCGCTGCCTTTTCCGACTCCAGATCCCTCTGTATGGCCATTACTGTTAGCGGATATTCGGAGACCCCGTGTCCAGGGTGAGATTTGTACCTTTCGTTCCTGTGCATCTTGGTGTCGTCTTCTTAAAGTTGCCAGGGCATCCTTGTGCTCATCAAACACTCCTTGGAAGGTATCCACTTCCTTTTGCAATTCCTTTATCTTATTCTCTATGATGCTTCTGGCGGAGAGATCGGCGGGCTGGTTCGTCCAAAATTGGGCAGGCTTAAGCTGCCGAACTCGAGTCGAAATGGCGCTTGGTCCGTATTCGCGTCTGCGGGTAACCTGATATGACTGACGACCGGTCACCCAGCTACTAATTGGGCTGTTTGTCATCCTTGTATACTCATCGTCGGTGATATCTCGACGAGCTATAGGCGTCCGGTTCAATCTGTTTTCGCTGCAGAGCATGGCCACGACAGGCTCGGGACCGGATAATAAATCTTTAGCCCAACAGTCGAATCCCAAAGAGTGAAGTTCCTCGTCTGTTATTGGAGCTTGGAGCTCAGATAGTGTAGTAGTAGAAACCTTCAAACTAATATCATGAAGTCTTAATTCGTTAAATACTCGCTGTAGCGTCCTAAAATCAGGTCGAGACTGAACTGTGAAGGTCAACAGGTCAGTCCTTTGGAATAGCGATTCCATCGCGTTTGCGTATGCAGGATCCTTTATAGAGCATTCTACAAGTGGTGGGCCAAAGACCGTGCTTTGGAACTCTGTTCGATTTGCTTTTATCCATGCCCATGCTTTGGCAGTGTCTGCAGACAAATTTTTGAGCTTCTCCTCCTGTCGTCCACTCTCAGAGTTTAGATTCTCCAGACGTTCATTTTCTCTCGCAATTTTCTGAGTCGCAAGATCGCAGTCCCTAGAGGCTTTATTTTTGGCGTCGTGGACATTTCTCATCTCCTCCTCGATAGCCCTAATATGACGCACGCTCTCCCGCTACAGATAAATCAGCCAATGTGCCAAAAAGAAAACGAAGGCGGTTAACAAAAAGAGCAAATCTTACAATTTTCTCGGTATAGGCAGCGGCATCATATTCAACCGGCTCCTCCTTTATTTGTCGCGTGAGTTTGTTAATGATCTGCTGAGACCTTTTCAAATTATCCCTATGTGTTAACGCACCCTTTTTCTCTGCTTCGATTTGCACATCCAAGTCTTTAATATCCTCCTGTGTCTTTTCAAGTTTTAAGGCACCGTCCGCCACCAATCCCTCTTGTGCAGCAGCCAATTCTCGTTTCTGCGTAACAACAGTTTGGAGTTCCTGAAAATATTTCTCTTTTTTATTAACCGACTTGAGAGCAGGGGCTAGCTGGTTTTCTAGATTTTCATGCTCTTGTTGAAGAGTCCGTCGTGCCCGTTGCGCCTCTTTAAGAGCTTGGACAGCCTCTTGATACCTTGGCACTGGCCGGGAGCGCTCCAGCACGGCAATCTTTTTCTGTATCCGAGCACGCTGAAGCATTCTCTGCACGTCTTCCCGTTGCATTTCCTGGCGATTTACCAAATTTGCCAATTGTTCGCGTTCGCCGGCGTTAGCAGCCAGCAATTTCTTCTGTTCAGCACGTAGGGATTTCAAATCTTCATGCCATTGTAGCATTTGGGGGCCAGCTGCTGCTCGCTGGGTTGAGTGTAATAATTCAATTGGCGAAAGCGCTGCGAACTCAGCTACCTTGTCTTGGGGCAAAAACTGGCAGAGGTTGTCGATTTGGATAGAAAATGACTTAGCAAGCTCAAGGACAGATGCTTTCGACGAGGGCTTCCCATTGATCGTAAACGTGCTTTTGTTACCCTTCCTTACGATGGTCCTGCGGATGACTGGATTTTCACGATGATTTCTTCCTTTAGCTAGCTCAATTTCAATAGTGGCTTCTTCACAGCCATGTTTAACAAATTCAGCTGGGTCCTTCGCTCTTCCGAGATGCTGTAGTAACCGGTTTTTTGTTAGCATATTGCGTAATTTTCGCAAATTAAGAGCCCCAGAAACCGCTCATATTCGATAAATATGTAGAAAATAAGGTGCTTTACCTGTGGGCCCCATCCAAGTCCTAGACAAATCGCACACACTAGAGTACTCTTCCCTGTTCCATTGGGTCCAATGACCATATTGAGTCTCGGTCCGGGGAAGAACTCTGCAGAGGTATATGTAACAAAATCCCTAAGTTTCACTCTCACAATCGACCCAGGTCGATGTTCGGGATTCGGCCCATTCCCGTGGAAGCTTTCCTGTCTGCCGCCCGCGCTCCGGTTCGCACGAGAGCCGCGCACAGTCTTGACAGAGGGAGGACGGAGCGTGTTGGTGGACGTTGCCATTCCGTTTGCCCCGGAAGATATGTCATCACTATCATCTTCCGACGTACCATTCGCGTCGCTTTTGTCATTTTCGTGATCATTAGGTCCTGCAAGGCGGATACGTTTACTACCGTTAGACACTTGGGAAAAGGGAGTGCCGTCTCGCGAGATTCGCGAAGCCCTATCACTATTGGGACTATTGCTGTCGGATTCCGGAGCATCAGCACGCTGTCGCCGCTGCGGGAGAGGTGCAAGGGAAGGCATGTTGCTTTTGAAAGTCGCTGGGTGCCGGCGGCTCCAGTCTGTTCTTGTTGGCGCTGGGAATGCTGGACCAGAAATGCAATTACTGTCCAAGTTCGCGACGGCGTGAGACGCGTTGAAGACGTGCTAGTCTATATAATCTTGGCATGGTTTATGAAAGTAAAAAAACATAAAAGAGAACTAAAAAGAACTGGATTTGTAAAAATCGGAGTGTAAAATGACTATCTTATCGAGGGAGATGAATATATAAAGCAATTTTAATATGATAAGCTGTGTAAAAGAATTGATTTGTTCATATTTACAATGAGACAATGATTACTGATTGAATTTCATGATCATTTCGCTTATTAAACAGTAAATTAAACTAAAATAGTACTAGTGTATATGACTAATATGCTAGGTCGAATTATTATATTCACCGATTGACCAGTCTCGCAAACCACAGGAACCCGACGACCATCTCGCCCAGCCGCAACATCAATCGAAATGGCTGAAGCTCAGTGGGCCGCCACCAGCATATTGGGACAATCTGTCGAAAATTTGGTTGACCAAAGAAACTTTGCAAGAATTTGACCGACATAACAGCCCTTTAACCGGGATACTTGAATCAGGACAACGGCCTTATCAGCCACTAACTTGACAACCCCAGGCAGCGCTTAAGCATCATTGCCAGACACTCGCTGTCGAGCCATTGAACAGCTGCAAGCCTAAGAACCTTAAGGAGATAAAGAGGCTGTCCAGGCGGGGTGGGCCTGACTTGTCCGACCTAGGAACGTATGAAATGATAGCAATATGTTATCACCCATGCTGACCCCTCAGTTTAGTTCCCAAATCCTCGTATCCCTTTCATCAATCAATGAGTGCAAGCAGCTCAGGCCGCCGGAAGTGACATGCAGGTTCTACTCCTGACCATAGTGACAATAAGGCCACTCATTACAAAGGCCCCAAGCACTACTGCCTATAATCGGAATTTCAGCAACATCTGGCTGATCACGGTGTCTATCCCCCTGGATAAAAGTACCCTGATGGCCAGAAACCAGCAAAACCAAATAATTGGCTTGAGCTCAATGAATGACTTGTGGAACTCCGAACTTCCCTCGGCAAGTCACTCCGAAATTAAGCCTCTGGCCAAATGAGTACGTGAATAACGACAACTCGCAAGATGGAAGAACGAGAGACTGGCTCAGTAGACAGCAGCGTGGCAGTTATACAGGTTCTCTCACAGATGCGCCGAAAACTCCCATCCTTGGGCGACCAGAAATGGATTAGTTACTCAAGGGAGGTGCAAGCAGTCAGCAAAAAATGGTCCGATTCTGTCCCAAGGCCAAGGGCGGAAGGGGTTAGTTAAGTTATTCTCGAAAAATGAAAGCTTCATTGCCAGCCAGCGAAAATATTCAGGAATAAAAACTCCCGCGTACACACGAATATTGGGTTACATCAACCTTGAAGCTGATAATTTTTAGAACGCTATCAACTCATTCTTTTATCCAAAATAGATCCCCCATGTCATAATGCCCCTAGATAGATAAACTTAGGCCCGCTGGTCTCCCCGGTATATATAATTTCAATCTCTGTTGCTGATCAAATATTTATCCACCGCCCCAAATCTTGCAGAGTAATAAGAATCGCCAATGCCCACCACATAAGCTTTCTTAATTTGTTGTCAGGATTAAGTAGCTAGCCATTATCCCAAGGTTTCGCGAAGGCTATAACCCATTGGCATGTATAACATCGCACCCACTAATAATTTCGGGGCATGTGTCGAAGAAGCAGAGGTCCGTCTTACCAATGTCTATGATGTCTTTTGTAAATAGGGGCGGTAATCGCGACTGGCTAGCGAAAGCCCGATGATAATTCCAACCCGCTCGATATGCTTCATCCATGGACCTACTAATCAAGCAAGGAATCATCGTTCAAACCCAAATCAATGAAAGCTGATGAAACCTATAACATAAGGATGAGACCAGATGGAGACAAGAAACAAAAGGGAACTGAGGGACGAAGCGAAACGAAACGCAACAAAACAAAACAAAAACATCTCAACGGCACGCAGCTAATGAGACTCCTCCGTGTCTTAACGCGGTTTAAATTTGGAATATACGCCGCATGGCTACATATAGTTATATCAAACTAGAACTACATTATGAGAGAAGTTCCGTTAATCAAATACATTAGAAGCCTTTTTGCCTCTTCACCTTTAATCCAGTCGTTGTCAACTCGTGGGACCCATGGTCAGGGTGTATCTTCCTTTGCCAGTTCGACTTTCGACTTCAAATAGCGGGGGGGCTAATGATATTATTTCATGCAGAAAGATCAAAAAGAGTAGTGAAAGGTCAGAAGGAAGAGGAACCCCTCGTCCATCCTGGTAGCAAAGTGGGAAAGTAAGAAAGCCATGAAAACAAACTATGTTCGACAAACGACAAACGACATTTCGAGGGCTAGAGAAGATAAACCAAATAAGGAAGAAAGGAGAACTGGGAAAATGGGAAACAGAAGACAAGTACACAGAATAAAGCATGCATTTCCCTCAGTCATGATAGCTGAGTCTAAGAAAAAGAAAAAAAGGAGGTTATACAGGCAAGGGAGCCAGAAGTTCCGTGGGTGAAAAGAACAGTGTACAAACAAATGAAAATGGGTGATATCGCAAGGTCGACTCTCAAGCTGCGATTGAAATTCGCATGGGAGAGAGAGATAAAATCAAAATTCAGCGCGTTCAGCGAAAGTATACCGTGTGTGTGCATATGCATGAACGGTGGAGGGATTGTTTCTTTAAAAAAAAACGGAAATACGACAGTAGATATAAAGTGTCATATGGCGGATGTTCCGTGGCAAGGAAGGAAACCGTACGCACTATTCCACGATCCTCTCTCTTCTTTCGCGTTAAGGAGGAATCGGAGTGCAATCTTCTCGCAAGCATTTAACGGGAACGGCAAAAGAAAGGAACCCTTTGTCCTCTGCAGACTGGCCCATACGAAAATCGAATAGGAAGAGAATAGAAATGAAAAGAAAACACCAGCAGACCAATTTGCCTGAAAAGAAAGAAAAGTGGTGATTAAAAATACCATTGCCCAAGAGATCCCATCGAGGATTCTACCATTCGTCCTCAAACGCCGCATTTTTTCCTCCATCATCAAAACCCAAAATATATGACGTGATGTGATACGAGAACAAGAGTGATTTCAGAAATAATTGCGGTTGGGTATGGAGAGAAATATAGCGACGAGGAGGGTGGTTACGATGACAGCTACGGTGGAAGTGCGGAGAAGGACAAGGAGGTGTATGCGACGAAGCACCGGGTCTTGGATCCTGGTATCTGGGTCGAAAACTTTTTGGAAGAATTTGCGTTTCTCGTAAGTGGGTATCCAGGGCTCGTCCTCGTACGAATTGCTTTCGCCGATGCTTGCGAAGAGCTTGGATTCCATCCCTAGTTTCAGTCGCACGTGTTCGTCTTCGTCGGAGAAGAGTTCCCAGGGATGCAGATGGCGGCGATTGAGGAAGAGGAAGAGCTGTAATAAAGTGTAAGCTTTGAGGTTATGTCTTGACTTGTTTATCAAAGAAGGCTGGAAGGACCACATCCCACCAATCGTTCCCTTTCGTTTGACTGCCAGAAGAATAAAAAAGACATAATAGAACTTACAATGCACGCACCGTCCCAGGACGTTAGAAAAATAATTAGGCCGGGTAAGAGACTTAACGCTGAGATCATCCTCCAGGCCCGTGTAGCGGAACTGAATATTGGAAGAATACCAGCTACCAGGCCAAAAAACATCGCGGTGCAACTGAGAATGCGAGAGGCGATAACTCGATGGCGGTTGCAATTATTCATGGTCCAGCGAATAAAATTAGGGTGAGATTGCTGGCGGAGGGTCCATTCCACTTGCGATGCCACCTGTTTAAACGCTGATGGATGTGTTGTGCAAGCCAGGGCGTGCATTAGATCATCCCTTTCCTGAGAGGTCAAATTCAATTGCCGGCTCGCGCCATCTGCAATATATGTCGCGTAAATTCTGCAGAGTTCTTTTCGATAGGGTTGTGAGAAGTCTGGTGTTTGATGATCACCGGGCTGTTCTCTCTTTATCATTCGTTTCGTATCACCCAATGTTAGGTGTGGATTGTTATTTGCAGCGGCGGATGATGACCCTGACTTTGCGAAATCGACGTTTTCGGCCACTCGATCAGATGGGTTTTCATTTCCGCCCGCCTCTACGCGTGGGCTTGAGTTACCCTCAACCTTCCCTGTTCTCGACGGAGTTCTCCAGTCACCATCACTATCAATGGGACTTCGTGGTGGTGTGCTGAAAGGTGCGGTATGGATAGATGCGGGAAGTTGCGTAAATTCGGATTGTCCTTCAGTAATGATAGTTATAGCTGGGGAGAGTGGTTCAGTTGGGGTGGGTTGGGATGAAGTGCCTCCCCGTCGCTTCTCCCTTCCAATCCACTCTGGTGAGAGCTGTCTTTGGCTCTCAGCGATTAAGGCGAAACGTCGAGTATAGTCACGATACCATAGGAAAAATTGCAAGTTCTCCGCATTCCGTTCAACATATTTTAAATAGTTCATAAAATCCCGAAGAGTGCATGGCTAGAATGGTAGTTGGTCAGCGACACAAATCTGGTCGATTTCTTTTCCAATATATATGTATATACATATAGTTACACTTTTTGTATATCCCATGTAAAAGAGAAAACGGGGCTGCCAAACGAGCTCGATGGATACCTCTGAAACTGAGGGGGAAAGATGGTGCACATTTATATACACAGTGGGTATCGCATGATAAAAGTATATACGGTTGGTACTTACAGGACAAGTACAGCTACCAATGATCATATCAAACGATAACCCTTCTTGAGCACGCCATGCGCCTGGTAGTTTTGTTACTCGCGACTCCTTGTTTGTCCTGTGTGCGCCAGTTACCCTCGTCGCAGGGTCACTGGAAGCAGGACAGGAGCGCTGAAAAATACGACACGCCATCCTGTCGATGAGAAGAATATGGGGAATGAGAAAAAGCAGAGGAGAAGGGGGAGAGATCGAGATGATATTTTAGGATGCGGAGTCAGTCACGTTTTTGAGTTAGGAAGCCTCGTCATATGCGGGAGAGCAGGGGTAGAAAGTGAGCGGGTGGTCGATTAGCATCTTCATCCAACTCCAGTCCACCGCATCCGAGCAGGTGATATGGATGGGCCATATATGTGTGTGATTTTGGGAGATGAATGAATGTGATGCTTCTCAGAAAAAAGCGACTTCGCAAGTTAGCAGGGTATGCATGGTGAGCCATTAGCAGGGTACAACCCTCCAGCATGTTCCCTGAGGCAGCCTTCTAACTAGATAGAGGTCGCTCCCTTAGTGGCCTTGCATGGATGATCTGAGGGGAAGAGTTCATCTCCACCTGAGATTTCGCAAGAATACTCCTAGCAACGAAGTGCTTGGCTTCGGGGAATCAGGATGTGCAATAACGTCTCCACCAGGTAAGTTCAAGGGGAACGAGTCCGGTTAGAATAGACTAAGGTGCCAAGCCCTTATGAATGCGACTTTGGCTTAATTCATTTCAATTGGATTTCTCAGCGCTTCGGGAACTTTTCATGACAAGCCAGGATTCATCAAGGATCCACCTGGCTGTTTATGTTCAACCCTTGGTAGAGTAAAGGAACGAGCAGCACCAGATCGAAAAAAACACTTTTCATGCATGCAGAAATATGATCATTTGGGTCTTTGGTAACGCAGTAGTGTTGTGAGGAAACGCCCCGTCAGACAGGTGGCTTGTCTGTGACTGTCCATCCATGGGGGCGAGGGGGGAGAGCCAACCCTGGTTCTTCTAGCGCGTTGCTAGAAGGAGGTCCAACTTTGGGAGAAGCGGGTTCGAAGTCACTGAAGTGCCTTTCTTCCTCCAAAAAATGATCAGCGTAAATACTCGCCGGCCCGTTGCTGAAACTTGAAAAAGGGCGGCCAGGATCTGTCGGAAAACATGAATCAATAGACCACGCCCCGTGACGCTAGTATCCGGTTTATCCACGGCCAACAACTCAAGTGAGTTAGTGGCAATGATCGGTATGTAAGTCATCATCAGCTGGTCCTGGGCGAGAACTGCGTCCACAGGCTGTCCTCTGGGAAGAACATGATACAGAGAAGAAAAAGAAAGAAAGAAAGAAAAGCCATTGGCGGCGATAGAAAAAAATTTTCGTTACTTTTTGTCATCACAGCGATCACTCAAGGGCAAGGCGTTGTAGAAATTGTGAGAGGGCGGATTTCGCGCCCGCAATCCAAGGGAACTCAAAATCAGAGTTCCGTCAGAATTTTTCTTCCGTTGTTTAACGGTAATAAGCTTGTTGGTCAGCAGCATTTTGCTGGGAGCCAGCTCGCCGAAAATGGGCGCCGATAAACAAAATACTTTGGAAGAAGCGTGGTTGATCAGTAATAATAACAACAACCAATAATCGCAGCGGATGCGATTTGAAATAATAACCCATTTCAACGCCCACGTTGCCGTGGCAAGCATCACACACATCATGCCGGGATTAGGCCCCTCACGATTCCAAAAAAAACCCAGGTTCCTGCGAATAGCGGACGGCTCCATCAGCGACCAGGGGCACAAAAAATCCATCGGCCCAGCAATCGCCGCTTAGCGCGAAGAACTTTGGGCGACTCCCCTTAAAATCCATGAGAACGAATAAATGTGGGATAGTCCTGGTCGCCGTGGGCGGTCATACCATCTGAGTCTAGATGGAGCACCAGTTGCGCCATCGCGCTAATAAAACAGCACTGGCACGGGTTTCACCACCGCTTGGGCGAGTTTTGAGCACTCGCCTCAATATATCATATCTGGAATCTGTACGGAGTGCTCCGTAAGCTGGACCAGCTTCCGCAAGTCATCCATAGAATGACTGTGGCGTGGAAATAAGTTGCCGGCATATAATTTAAGTTCACGGGGGAAGATCTTGATCCCGCATCCTTCAACAGACCCGAAGCTTGGACTCTCTCGGGACGAAATGTGAAAATGGGTGTCACAGATTCCCTTGGCGCAACCTGGGATCGTACGACCCTCCTCATCCTCACCTGCGTGCTTCTGAACACGGAATGACCAAGTGTGTTCGTTCCTCTCGCCGCGGATCAGCTGAATATCAGACTGCGACTTCACAGAGAGTCGATGCCAAGACCCGCCTGCCGATTGCGGCAAGATGGGGCTCAACAAGATCACATGTGGAGCGACGAAAGGATGTCGATGCTTGTCATCATCAACATCATCAACAACGTCAACATCGTCAACATCGTCACGTCTGCTGTCAAGTCTGTCATGAGAAACAGCCAGACCCGTGGGAATCGCGGACTGCATCCTGACCGCTGGGCTGGATCGCATGTTGCGTTCAGCTAATTGGTTACCACGTACCAGCCTTCTGGTCGCTTTTAAAAATAAACCGCTGTCCATTGTTTGGTCGATGGACTTCGTCGCGGAAAGCCCAGCGCCTCGGACAAGGACACGACCTGCGTACACATAACACTCCGCCATGTCTGGAGTTGACTCCGATGACAGGGAGGACGGGGACTGGGCAGGTGGTGAAAATATCCCCTTGTCATCCGGCAGAACTCTTCTCCCCCGCCCGGTGGCTTCCCTCGTGTCGCTGTTTGCCCAGTCGACGTCATTATCTCTACGTGTTGGGACATTCCTAGGCGGATTTGCTCTCGACAGTGCGAGGACTACCACTCTCACAGGTCTGGAACTGAGCAGAGCTGTTGTTGAGAGTATCCTGGTAAAGGCTGGCAAGGATGTGGCCCTGCAAGGTACCGAGTATGGGAGGATGCAGGCCGAATCGCTGCTGGAGCGCAGTGTATGTCGAATCATTTTTTCCGTCTCTTTTTGTTTATTTTGATTTTTATACTTTGAGGAAATTCAGTTCCCATAGAATATTGAGTGAAGTTGACATATTTTGAAGCTGGCAACCTTACATTCCACGATAACCTCCGCCTCGTTCTTTGCTTCTGCCGGTTTTCACCTTTCCTCGATGACGTTAAGTTCTTTTTCCGTGTTCTCCCAGAACCTCCTCTCCACACTGGATGCTATCCTCGGATCTTCTGAATCGTCCCGTGCTATCGCCGCTATTATCACGCTTATTATAAGAGAATACCGCAGCGAAGCGAACAAGTATGGCGGGCAGAAAGCAAGCGTAGCTGATCTGTTGGTGGGCTCCACCGGTTTTGCCTTGCTACAACGGTGGGGTCGAAGAGCAACAGAGAGAGAAATACGAGAAAAAGGCAAGGAAGAGACCGTTTGGGATGTGGTAATCCTCGACAACGGATTGAGAGCGGATGTTGTAGGAACCCAACAAACCGAATATCCAGAGGATATTGAAACCAGACCGGCGCATGCCTCTTCCCGGGCGTCGTCTTTTATATTTCCAGATGAGTCTGACGGTACTGATATCTTAAGATCGATGGAACATGACACATCTGGACGGAACACTCTGGGCACTCTCTTGCCCCATGTTTCTCTCCCTGCTGATCACCAGTATGAGCTTTCTGATGAAGAGATCCGAGTATATATCATGAACCAGTTACCAGATGACACCAGAGCTTCAATAAGGACAGACACCGTCACATCCAGAACTATAACAGTTGACTTCTATGACAACGACGTTGTGGATCTGTCTCCGCCGCCTGGGGCTAAAATGATAGTGGAAAGCTTTCACCACCTTCAGGATGCGGATTCAAGCGATGCTTCAAGGGGTTTTGTAAGCCATCCGCCGAAGCATACTGTTGTATTTCGAACTTCTTCAAACCATTCTGAAAGTGCGGAGCTACGCAAACAAGAGTTCAGCAATGTACTATCCACTGTCGATTGCAATTCAGTCTCCTTGCCTCGTTCTTCAGACAAGCGAAAATCGATAAGCGATGTAATACCGGCCTCGGACCCATCTGCTATTAATACGGGGACCATGCAGGATTCCCACCCGGGAAATACCAATAACCCTTCGTTCGCACATGGCCCAGGTCTACAACCATCGATAACTGATTCAGGATCGCAGAAAGGTACTCTTAGAAAAAGATCCCTCTCCAAATTCTCCCACAAAGTCATATCTAACATAGAAGATAAAGTAACCCACAAAGAACCGCCTTTGAAGAAGATGTTTACAGGCATAGCCAACACAGCCCTACCGTCTTCACAAGACAAAGACGTGAACAAATCCGACAAAGAAAATATCTCCTCTCGAATCGTTTTGAAAAATTCTTCACTAAAGAAACCTGTTGGTAAATCGAATAGTAGCGAAAATACACTGCCCACTCCACCAAAAGCAAAACGCTTAGGTTTTACTGACAAAACTTTGCCCCGGCTACCATCAAGACGCGAGCCTCCAAGCCAGAAGCGAACCTACAGTAGTAATTCAGTCAATTCGCATTCGAACGGTATTCAAACGAAATCTCCTTCGAAATCAAGTTATATCTCTGTTCAAGGGAAAAGAGTCGAGTCATATACCGCCCAAACCGACGCATACTCCCTTTGTTCTAGGCAATCCTGTCCCAGTTCTCCTGTAAAATCAAGAAATCATGTCCGTAGCAGCAGCGCGCTCTCCAGGACTACGTCCGAGAAAGACCTGTCTATTCTCGTTAACGACGATGATAACCTGCGGACTCCGGCATCGCATCGAAGAGGATCCCTTAAATCACTTGCACCTAGCACCTACTCCATTGCCGATGCGGGATCTGAAACTTCCTTAGTTCTTGCCACACGACCTGCAAAAAGTGTGTACGAAGACCAAGCTACGATTTTAGCGCTCCAACGCGATGGCCGGGTTCCAGGAATGTTTCCCGATGACCACATTGTGAAAAACATACAGAGATTTTCCCGTTTCTCGTCGGCGTCGTACGGTTCCAATTTCCTCCGTGTAATGGGTATTGGGAACCTCAAACAGACGCGGCAGAAGGATGAATATATCAGCGATGATCATCACGAACACTGCTCATTTTCCAACTATACTGGGCTTCCAGCATCAACTATCCTTCTTTCATCATTTGTCGACCCTGCAGGAGGGTCGAATGCAGCTGGAGAAACCGCTGAAGGATTCCCTTTGGTGCACTATCTGTCCCTGGACCACGCCTCCAAAGCTGTTGTTTTGACGCTTAGAGGCACGTGGGGATTTGAAGATATCTTGACGGATATGACCTGCGATTATGATGATCTCTATTGGTTGGGAAGGACATGGCAGGTCCACAAGGGGATGCATGCATCAGCGAGGCGGCTCCTTGAAGGAGGTGGTGGGCGCGTTATGGCGACAATCAGAGCTGCGCTGGAAGAGTTTCCAGAATACGGAGTCATTTTCTGTGGCCACTCTTTAGGTGGTGGTGTCGCTTCGCTTCTAGCAACTATGATCTCGAAACCACTGGATACAGACAAGTCGGGCCCTTCGTTCGTAACGGCATCCAAACCCTCATCCGGGATGACCCTACTTCCATCGCCTCAAGCGCGATACAACGAGCGAAAAACTGGTCAACTCTTCCTCCCCTCCGGACGACCAATACATGTCTACGCCTTTGGTCCGCCTGCAGTAATGAGTCCCGCACTCCGACTTGCTACAAGAGGCCTAATCACAACCGTCGTCAACGGCCAAGATATCGTTCCCACCTTATCCCTTGGAATTCTCCTGGATTTTCACGCCGTCGCTATGGCCTTCAAAAGTGATATGTCCGATGCCAAAGCGCATGTCCGCTCACGTGTCTGGGAAAGCATTACCGCCACAGTCGTGAACAAATTCTACATAAATAGACCCCCGCTCCTCGTCCACGCGGGTGACAGAGCTGGTGAAGATTCCTGGGCGTGGACTACGCTGAAATCGCTACGTGAGAACTTAGTAGCACCCAAGCTACTCCCGCCTGGCGAAGTGTTTGTCGTGGAGACGATGCGTGTTTTGCATCGTGATGCATTCACATTCGACTCCTTCAGTGGTGCTGATGGATCAGCGCGCCTAGGTCGACCTGCAACCCGTGTGCAGCTTAAATTCATCCGGGATGTAGAAACGCGGTTCGGCGAGGTCAGATTCGGGTCTGGGATGTTGGGTGATCACAGTCCTGCCAGGTATGAGGCCAGTCTGGCCGTGTTGGCAAGGGGGGTTCTAGAGGACTGACTTTGGTCGTTTTATCTTTTCATTTGTTCGTTTTGTGGGTTTTGTTTCATTTGGGGTTTAACTCCTCTGGCATTTTTAATTCGTAAGTACATTTGCATCATTTCCTTCGGTTGCATTATGATTTTGGTAACTATATTGGGTTGGATTAAACGGATGAACGGCCTTTGTGAATGAATGAATGCATCATGTTGTTGGTGTTTTGCTTCTATTCCTCCTTACATGGACATATATTGTTATGACTGCCTTCTCTTCATTCCGTTTCATTACTACCTTTTTGTTCCGGCTTCCCTTTCAACAGTTTATATATAGGTATACCCAGGATAAACATAGATTTTATAGCCATAATTAGCTAGTAATACCCCCTCAAGGAAAACTAAATTTTCAGCATTTCGGAATACATCACTTTTGATTTTTTCATGTTCTTTTTCCACGCAACACGCGACATCAATTACCCCGTTTCAAAAAAAGCTCCTATGCTTCCCAACAATTTTGTTCAAGAACTGTTGCCATATTGAGAAATCACGTTGTCCCGGACGGACCTCTTCTGATATTTGAACTCCATCTGTAATTACGACGCAATGACGCGACCTGTGTCGAAATGCTGAGATAGGCGGTTTCTGATCGAACAAACAATGAATGAATACGGAACGAAAAAAAAGAAAAAAGAAAGAAAGAAAAAAGAAAGAAAAAAGAAAGAAGAAAAAGGGAAGTTTACCAGTTTCTATATAGAATGTTTGCTTTCGTTCACCCTCCTACTTCCTCGAGCAGGTCAAATCATATGTCCAAGCTTTGAGCGTACTCAGGAAGTCCCGAAGACACGCACCCTGCTAAAGTACAAATTACCGTCCCCCGGCCATCCAAAGCCCGCTCCACGAAGTGATTAAAAAGCCCATAGATGCGCGGAAAGCTGCCTTTGCCGGCATCCCTTCACGCCAACACACGCAGCCACCAACCGAACCCAGATACGAGAGGATTATGAGGACGGTATCAAATCCAGCGAGATTCTTTTGGGAGGAGAATGTCAACAACGTACTTCCTGTGGAAGTGGTACGCGCTGACGTTGCAGCCATAACTGATTGGGCCTGTTTGGAAGCGGCAATACGTTGTGTGGAAGACCGAATTATTTGATTGCGTACTTAGTATTGAAGAATGGTAATATGCCGCCGAAGGTGGTGGCTGCAGCGACCAGGAAGGCGAGAATATGCTTAAGGGTAAAGTGGGAAAGCATTTGATCGGCAACCACCGGTATACAGTTCGGGCGTTCGTTTGCTCTCTGCAGACACTATGTCGTCACTAGACCCTATCCATAAAACAAAAGACCCATCCACGAGCAACATATATCATCGATGTAGCTACCACTTCGTTCCGATCCCACACACGACAATAAATGTTAATTGAACTCGAGACAGTTGGGCAAGTGTCAGTCAAGACTTTAAGGTCGGGAAGAGAATTTAAGGAGCCCAACGTCAGCATATACCGTACGATAGAAGATTATCCGTAGTTCCGATATTTAAGCGCTTGCTCAAACTGTCCTTCCGCTGTGTGCGCTCGACTGCGACCGCGATTGTGACGATGTAATTCAGCTTAAGAGCGAGGTCTGATCACATCCTTCCACAAGCACCGTAAGCACCACGCGCGTTCTCCCGGCGATCCGCACACGGGCCGAATCTGAATATGAAGGGGTAAAATGTTAAGTATGGATGTTTTCGTCAACTATTCCCCTGCGCTTCCACGAACGCACCCCTAGGTGCTGGCTGCGTGTTAACTAGCTAGCCCAAAGGTCTAACACCTTCAGCTCCGATTTTCACCGCGGCCTCCCACTGTCACCGATATTCTCATTCCTACGCCTGTTCTCCTGTCTTGTTCGCAGGTCATTTATTTGCTTTTCTAGCGAAGTTCGTCGTCTAACGAGAACCTCCCTGGCTGCTTCGAGGGCGTGAATTTTCTCCGCGGTAGTAGCGGATCGCTGTCTCTCAGCTTCCTAGAAAATTTGGGAGAGGAATTTTTAGGGGCGCTCTGCATTTATGATTATTGGGAAGAAGGAAATCGAGAATGTACCTTCTTTGCATCCTGGTCCATCTTCAATCCCGCTCCGTAGAGCGAGCCCATGATTGTGCATATTGTGACACCAGCTGTAAGGATGATCCGTCGTGCTTTGGGAGAGAGGGCTGCTGTTGACATTTGCGATTGACGGATGTGAGAGGGTTTCCCACAGAGTAAAGACCAGGCAGGTAATACGCAATTGAGTATGTAGTGGAATGGCAGTTTTTTGAAGCTCCAGATAGTTATATATCATGCATTGTTTGCATTGTTTGCATCATTGGGCAAAACTAACTGTATGCAGATTCCTCCTTGATAACCTGATCAATACTATCTAGCATTCTCTCCTCGAAGTGAAATGCTGTAAAGGAATAGATGTCTACATATTGAATCGGTATCGCTGATGCAGCTCCATCCACTTCCCTCCCATCCAACCGTTTGTAAACGCGCCACGCCTGCTGCACCCTTAATAATCCGGAGCTAGATAGTCTCGTAAGCAGGCCTTTTATCTGGAAGGATCAGCCCCGCCCGACCAATTCCCGTATTTAAGAGCAGGTGGAGTTCTAAATGTATCCATATCCTTTCAAGAAAGGCTAATTGTACAATATCGGTTGAAATTCCAATTCTATTACTCATTATTCTTTATATGCACACACGTACGAACCACACAGAAGATGTCCTCCAACCCGCGCTGCTTCATCGTCCGTCACGGCGAGACTGAATGGTCGCTGAATGGAAAACATACAGGCACTACAGACCTGCCTTTGACAGAGGACGGAGAGAAACGAGTAAAAACTACCGGAAAAGCACTTGTAGGACATGATCGATTGATAGTCCCCGGAAACCTGGCGCACATGTAAGTCAAGCTTGGGAGCTTTTCTGAGTTTTTGCCGAATTGCCATCGTTTGTCTCCTGACTTACTGCCCCGATTTTTGCAATTGCGGTTTTTTCCCCTTCAAGATATGTCTCTCCTCGTCACAGAGCGCAGAGAACCCTCGAATTGCTCGAGATAGGATGCAAAGAACGACTTCCCTGGTTAGACAAAAGGCAGAACACACCTTTACGTACAGAAGCACATGTGGAAATTACCGACGCGATTCGTGAATGGGATTATGGGGATTATGAAGGGATGACGAGTGCGGAGATCCGAGAGCTGCGTGCTAAGAACGGAGAGGGGCCGTGGGATATTTGGCGTCACGGATGTCCTGGCGGAGAGTAAGTTTATGCCCTCCACCACAGACCATGGCCGGGATTATCGCATATTTCGCGAGCCACAAATCACAGATGCTCGATGTATAAATGGCGGGCGCTAACAACACTCCGCCGCCTTCTTTTTGTTATTACAAATAACACAGATCGCCAGATGATGTCATCCGACGCCTAGACGTGCTCGTTACCGAAATCAGATCAAAATATCACAGCAAAGCTATGTCCAAGTCGGCGGACGAGTCTTTGAATGGTGATGTTCTAATCGTGGCCCACGGTCACATTTTGCGAGCGTTCGCCATGCGCTGGATTGGGAAACCGCTTACAGATACGGCATTCATTCTGGAGGCTGGAGGTGTGGGAACGCTGAGGTATATCTCGTGTCTCTGATGAAGGGTGAAGCCTGATCGAGAACAAAATAGAAAGTTCTCCTTTTCGTTTTTGTTGGCCGGAATAGCTGACACGATCAATCGTTTGTCCTAGTTACGAACATCACAACATTGACGAGCCGGCCATTATCCTTGGGGGAGCATTTGTTGTTGGTGACTAACAGGTTTGTCGTTAGAGTGGGGTGAGCGAGGTGTCGTGGAGGATTGGTCGTTTGTTCCTGTTTCGCTCTTTTTTTTTTCCCCCACCGTAGCGATCGGTATCCCTGGCGATGGATGAGACCCCATTTTCTCTAAATAGCCCAGTTAAGCTAAACGTAGGCTGTTCGTATACCGCATTGGGACGTGTCAACGCTGCCCACCATCCCAAACCTCAACACTCGCTGATACGAGAATATTATTTATCCTTTCCTTAGAAGAAACCTCTCCACCTCTCCCTAATCACCTTTCCCCTTCCCACTCCCATTGCCACCCGCCGCACCGGCCTTCGCACCCCCTTCCTCCCCCAAAACCTTTGCCGCCCCCATAAACAACGCCCCCACATACCCGCCTAGAAAACGCATATCGCCCGCCTGCGCCGCCGTCATGCGCGTGAGATTCTCCATGTCGGCCAAATGTGCGTTAAGCTGTGCAAGTTGTGAGTGTAGATGGGCGTATTGGCGTGTTTTGGTCGTAGACATGGAAGTTTGTTGTTGTGCGGGAGGGTGCGAGGTTGAGGTTGCGGATGTGGTTGCGGCAGAGGAAGGGTTGAGGTTGGTGAGGCTGGCTGTATATGCGGCCATGGCAGTGGCGGAGGAGGTTCGCGAGTGGGATTGGTAATTATTATTGTTGGAATTTGTGTTGGGATTGTTATGGTGGTTATAGGAGGATTGTTGTCGTTGGTGGTACGGTGGTGGTGGTGGCATTGTATTAGTTGGTATGTGTATGTATTTTCGCAGTGTGAGCGGGACAAGTTACGGGAGCGATGATCGGATTTCCTGATGGTTTATTTTCACCTTTTTTCTTTTGTTTCATGGGATTCGGTGCGGCATTGGTGGACGTACAGTATTGAGAACATAATGATAGAGGAGTTGGCTGATGAAGAATGATCTCCAAAGCGTACAGGGAGAGGTATCACATGATCGTCTGCCTTTTCTCTCCTTCAGATATACCAGCATATCAAACGCTGATGGGCATTAACACAAGCTGAGAATTATAAAAGAAAGTAGTAAATCGGCTAAAGTGACCGCTCCTCAACTCACATCTTTTTCAGTCAAACCAAGAAAAGACAAAGAAATTCACTTCACTGAAAATATTTATGATAGCCTCTCACCACAAATCAAATAGGGTGGATAAGATGTGAAGAAAAAGGATATAAAGGAAAAAAAGACAAAGCAGAAGAATTGATAATATAACGCAATGACAATGGAGGTGTTGTTGTTGATGATGATGAGACGAGAATGGAAAAGAGCAAAAATAGTTAAAAAAAATTATGGGTATGCAAGTTAATTCTTCTTTTCGCCCTCGTCCATTTTTTGTTTCCCCGATTTACTCTCAATTTTATTCTATGCATCATAGCCTCGAGGAGTTTACATCAAATAATATATTTCTGCACCGGCAGATCGACAAAAGACAAAAGACTAATGACTCAAAAGTGTCTTCATTACCGAAGCGAATCAATGCCTCTTCCTTTTCTCTCAACTAACAGCCAGCACATGGTGGAGGTGTAAAATAGTAGTTTCTGGCCAAAAGAAAAGGGAATAAGAAGAAACAAGAGAAGTTAATACAATAAAGGAAAAAAAGAAATAAGGCATAGGAAAGGGGAAGGAAGAGAAATACAAGAGATGAGGTGAAGGGAAAAGAAACACAAGAATGAGACAAGGAAAAAAGAACATGAGAGAGATAAAGAACATTATAAATGCGCCGGGAAAATGCAAAGAAATAGCCTATGTCAAATAAGTCGATAGGAAGAAAACTAGGTTTGAAGATTTATAAAAAGAGGGTCTATTAAGAAAGAGATGGAGAAATGAAATAAAAAGATATGTATGTGTACGCATTTGGTTATGATAATTTTATGATCCACCCAAATGTCCTCGTGTAAAACAATGCAACAATGCATTAGTCAAACACTGAGAATGGAGAAATCAGACATCTTATTCTGAACACTGAACACAGACAAGCCCTCAGGGCAAAAAGTGGAAAGTGTGTGCTTGGGTATAAACTGGCACTTCAGCAACGAAGTTATATTATTCTTACCAACCCCCCAGTTACTAGCCGTTGAAGAAAGAGCCGCCATTAAGATTTAGTGGTGAGAAAAAATGGTTATAACTTGAGAAGGAGAAGGAGAAAGAGAGAAAACAAGATGCATATGTTGTGGGAAAGGCGGGGGTATGAGGGCCGCGTACAGTTGACAAAGGATAAAAGGAAAAAAGAAAAAAGCCATGGCAGTAGCAAATAGAATATGTAAAGGTTTGGTGTATATAAAAATTAAGCCGTTAAGCGCCACTCGGTTTTTATCACGATCGAGGCTAAACGGGGGGTGAGGATGTCATCAATGTAGGAGACGTCTATGGTCGTATCGTAAACTCTGTTTTCAGGTTCGTGGAAGCCACAGCTAAGGCCCATACTATAAATCGAGGAATCGAGCATTAACAAAAATGCAACGGTTGAATATATTTTTCTTTTGTTTGGATTGGCTCAGCGAGCCATCGATGAATGACGAGGCCCTAGGCTACTCTGGCTGCTGTGGGCGGAATTTTCAGAGTCGATATTGGCACTTGCGCCGCTGTCACCACTCCCCGCGCTAGCGCTCGCACTCCCTGTCAGACTTCGAATGTTTGGAGTGCCCTTGTTTGGATACGAATTGCTCACCCCGACATGTTGGTCGACCTGCTGCGCCGCACCCGTGTTTCCTTGTCCAGGAGGATATTTCAGAACTGGCGTCCTCATCATTCCGGGAGGAGATGGTCTTCCCCCAGGAGACACCATAGGTTGTCCGTTATATGGGTCATGACCAGGGGGTGGCCGGCCCATACCACGTCCGGCAGGGTGGAAAGACGTATTGGGAGATTGGCTGGTTCGCCTATTTGGGGGATGGAAGTTGTTAGCCGTCAGTGAGTTGGCTCTCGATTCGTCGCGAATCTCCTTTCTATCGACATTTCCATAACGATTAGAGGAATAACCCATCATAGGGTTATTTAGCAAGGAGTCATGCGCTCCGGGTATCTCATCCATTAATCGGGCGCTTGCACGGTTTCGCCCCCCGCCGCCAAAATGCCTGTTGAAAGCTGAGGGGGGTCTACCACCCCCACTCATCTCGGGGTTCTTGCGAAATTGGCCTGCATTCTGGTTTGGTATCTTCCGATTTCTACGAGAAGTAACGCTCAGCATGTCAAAATTGTCAGGATCAATCTGAGGGAGAGGAGGCCCTCGATGGTCCATTGGATCAAAGTAATCATCCTCGTCCATGTCATCAAAAGCATCACGCGCTGCCGATGGTCGCCGCCCACCTCTTCTCATGTTCATTTCTTGCTCCCTCAGTAGTAGTTCACGTTGCCGTAGTGCTAACTCGCGCTCTCTCAAAGCAATATCTGGAGGCAGCCCTCCTCCGTTTGATACAGGACCGTATCCACCATTCTGCGCCCCATCCTCTACCACATCGTCGTACAGCACAAGATGGCTAAATTCGTCCAGGTTATGCTCTTCTGATAATTCTCGCTGAATGGGCTGCGGGCCTCTTGGAGGCAATCCATTGGGAAGTGGTCTAGGGTGCGTAGCGTTCAAAGATGGGCCACGTCGAGGCAGGTGCGCTCCTGTACCAGGCCCAGGTCCCGTTCGGCTAGCACGCATTCCATTCATTGGGGGCCGTGAAGGTGCGGATGAAAGTCTTGGGGGTGGGTGAACCGGAGACAGCGATGTTGTTTCCTGCGGTTGCCTTGCCTGATTGATATTGTTGAGGTGGTGTAACATCGCATATAGTGTCTCGATTCGAGGAATTTTAATACCAATTTCTGTAGCTAGCTTTATCGGCGATCCTAAGTATGTTTCCACCTCCATTGGACGTCTTGCTAACCAATCCTGGTACATAGTGCTTGGAGTATCGGAATGGGAAATCATTTTCTCAATTATCGTTTCATTGAATTTCTCAGGAAAGGTGCAGCCTTGAGCTTTGGCGAGACTGAGGAGCTCATCGATAACACCAGAAATTAGTTGGCGTAACCCTACTTTCTCCAAGAGGTCTGCGTGGTTTGGACATTCAAACATCACGCTAGCGGGATAGAATGCGATGGGTCTGCGATCATATATCAGTAAGAGTGTTTAGCTAAAAGGGAAAAAAAGAAGAGAGTTCGTTGAATGGCGGCATACCCGATCATGCGTTCATACTGCTCTTGCCTGATGTTATCTGAAACTTTGCAGTCGACTTGACCTGTGCTTAATGTGATAGCCAATGCTACAGCCATATCGTTCTGTATGGACGAAGGAATCATGACATTTTTCGAAGAAGGTCCAACCCAAGTATCTGTTGATGCCGCATGTTCGAATTCAGTGGGCCCAGTCTGGCTTATCTCAATTCCAGAGACTAAAGAGAGAACAACATTTGTAGGAAATCGATGCTCCAGATGAGATTCGACGCCCAGAGCGCTTGTGGTATTGACCAAAATACAGGTGTGTTGGGGTGTGACAACCGACTGAATGACGGCAGCAAGATCGTAGATATCTGGTAGCGCTTTCACACAAAGAATAACGTAGTCGAAGGGTGGGTCAGTCGAGCCCGCTTCTTCTGGAGTGCGTACAACTATAGAAGAAAAAAGGAATTGTAATTAGCGGACGATCTCCCCCTGCAGCTGCAGCTGCAGCTCAACGGTTCTAGATTGATAGGTTTTACATACCCTGAAATGGTTTGAAGCGTTCATTTCCAAAGGTCTTTGATCTGAATGTAGAAAAAAATAAAATTAGTTCTAAAAGTTGGATTGACACGGTTGCCACAGAAGAAGTGTCTACGGGCGAGAAAACATGTTGAGTTGCTTGCATACTTGAACGTGACGCCAAATTGCGATATTGCGTCGAAGCTGGATTTCCACACGAGGGTCACATCGCAGGCGTTTGTAGCCTGGAGCCGCCAGGAGAGAAAAGCTGATATTGCATTACCACCAACTACAAGGAAGTTAGTATTGCCGCATTTCGCCATTAGAATATGACAAGTGAAACTCAATGAACCACGACTCTTCAGCAGCGAGGCATCGAGAAACCAAGACCCGACCGAAAAAACCAAAGAAAGTGCATCTATAAATTGGGCATATGGAAGTACTCAAGAACGGTGAAATGGAGTTTAGGGACGGAGGAAAAGAGATCTGATAGCCACACGATTGTTCGCGACCAAGACGAAACGCACCTGATAGTATCCGTAGTCTGGGCGGCGAAGGAGCCATTGCCGGCAACACGGTGAGGTAAAGAAGGAAACCCCGGGGTCCAACGGATGCCGCAAGAACGACGCAAAAAGGGAGTAAGAAACGAAAGGAAGATCCCCAGCAATCGGGAGGCGGTGGTTCTCCCTAGAACGCAGACCTGGCTGGCACAGCCATCCAGCTGATATGCTTGTATGGGGGAAGGTCGATAGGCGTTGAACGGAAGAGCGCGGCAGTGAGATTAATGAGCAATTGTCAACGAACGAGTGGCGGAGATAAGAAAGAGAGTGGAAGCGAGAGGATCTCGACGCAGAGTAGCAGAAACGATGAGAGAGTGTATATGGACACCGCAGTCAAACTGAAACGACAGTAGGGAGTGAGCGTGCAGCAGCGTCACAGACCCGACAACTCCAGATCAATGGACGGGACAAAGGTCACGACTGTAAAGCCAACAAGCATAAAGAAAAAAGGAGGTCGAGCCCGACAAGCAGATTGAGGAACTGCTGCTATGCAGAAGGAGGTGGTGGAAGTGAGTTGTGGATGAGGAAGTTTGAAGTTTGAAGTTTGAAGTTTGAAGTTTGAAGTTTGAGGGTTTTGGGTTTGGGGTTTGGGGTTGGGCGAGAGGAGTCGACAGCTTTTCCTGGAATCTTCTTGGGCAACCTTTCAAGCCCCGACCAGACACGACACGCCGCAGACAGCCAACGAATGGACAAATAAGTGGAACAGCGGACAATAGGGCAGCAGCACTTATTTGCTCCTGATGACCGCCACCAGGGGATAAACGAATAGACTGGTAGATTAAAGATGGGGAAATAGCACAGCAAGCAGTATTATTATAACCGGGCCCTCTCGAGAGGAGGAAAAGGCAGAGGGGGGGGGGGGGGGAGGGGAATGAGTGTGCAGAGGCCAGCAGGCAAAACGAGGGAAGTGAACAGAAAAGAAGATGGATTGATCGATTTGATTGAGAACTATTCCTGACACTGACACTGACCCTTGATGCTGGTGCTGATGCCAGTGCCTGTGCTGAATCGACTACGACTGATGATGACAGCCAGGACTCAAGCCGGGCAGCGCGGCCAGGCATATACCCAAAGCTGCCAGGACTAGCTGGCGCTGCCGCTACGATCGAACTTGGACACAACACGAAAACAGAGACCTAATTTTTCTGCTAAACCCGACGGAGAGGGCGGGATGGCCAAACCTGTGCTGGGCGGTGGCAAACAGTTGCAAGGTGGGCGGCTTGACGAAGTACGAAAAGTCGTTGGCCTACCACCTCCAGCCTCCGACTCTCTAGCAGGACGAACAGGAATCATGCTGTGGAGCATCGCCTGTGTCCCGCTGGACCTACGACTATAATTTTCGACAGCGCGTTGATTTCAAAAAAAGAATTATTTCATGGAACAACCCAATCGAACGCGCCGCGATGCCGCGATTGGAATAGTCAATCGTCCCGATCACGAAATGTTCTGTGGCTCCACGATGGCTTCCGCTGGAAGTTTGTTTCAAGGGACTCCCCTGGCTGCCAGTCAATTTTGCGGAAGTTTGCTTTTTTGGTTTGGACGTTCAGATTGAGCAAGGCAGAGTGACACCCTGTCAACATGCTACTTTTCTCTGGTTTTTCCCTCCCATCAAAAGAAAAGAAAATCACAGACAGCCCTGACGTGTTTCGTGAAATCCATCCCCTATGATTGTCCTGATCATCGCCTGGTCCCCGTGTTCGTGCTCTTTCCATCATCATCACCTTACCTTACTCCCTCCAGAAACTCATCTATTGAAAAGCAAATCAATCATTCAATAAAAATCCATGAGATCGTGCAACATTGTACGGGCGCAGGCACAGGCACAGGCACAGACACAGATGTAGATGCGGATGCACAATAACTGCTCCCAGAAACGGCTTGCCTTGCACCACTCATACGAATTCTCTTTGCCAATAGTCTATTCTTCGAGGCCTGGTGGTTTTCTTCGCAAAACGTCGAAATGTGCAACTTATCTGTGCAACTTCACAGCTCGACTATTTGAAAACCCCATCAAAGTCAATAATGTCATTGTTTCGGCTGGCTTTGTTGCCGTGGCCCTCAATTATGACAGGATTCATCCATTCCCACTTTCCAGCGCTGGAGGCCAAATAACAATGTGGGTCTTGGGAGGAAAATCAGAGGAGAATTCAGGACAGGCTAGATCCCGAGATCCCTGCCTTAGCCTTGATCAGGCCCCAGCGAAACAAAAAAAAAAAAAATGAAAAATGAAAAATGAAAAAAGGCTTAGCCCGAACCTTCGCTGATTGAGATTTCCTTGATTCTTGAACGCAAGTTATCCTTGATTTTTTTTTTCTTTGCCAGCGCCCACACTAAGACCCAAGTGGCCAAAAGCTCTGTCAGAAACAATGCAAGCCAGGACAAGAAAATATTTTCATACTCCTTCTGTTATTTTTAGCGCGGGATTTCCCAGACTCCGGCCGCCAGTTCCTGTCTCATCACCACCGACTCCCATCACGACATCCTCCACTTTCAACTCACATACTACGGTGTACGTACTAACAACTAGTGACCGAACAATATTAGATTTTATTCGCTCCAATTGCCACTACTCGGGTCACCATGATACTGCAAATTGTGTTGCATTGAGCGCTCGAAACAAACTGCCAAAAAGCGAATAATTAATCGACTCAAATAACAAAATTTTATAGAGACATACCACAAGCTTCGCAGCCGATGTTACAAAGCGAATCACGAACTTCTGTCCAGTGTGACAAAAAGCAAAATAATGACCCTTGATGTCCTCGAACGAGAATATATAGTTTCCTAAACAGGGTGGAAGGGGGAGGGATTGTATGATCATATTATTGTTCAAAAAGAACCCGACATTATTGAAATGCACATCCCAACGGATGTGCTTCCGCAATGCGAAGAGCTCTCGGCACAAATCAATTCTTCAAGGCTCTGCGAGTCAAACGCACTAAGAGCAACTATTTATTTTTTTTTTGGTTCACACTTTCTTTCCTCCCCTATCTCTCCTTCCCCGTGCCCGTCGTGCTCCAGGCCGCCAAACCCATTGCCATGGCGTGGTGTCGATCTTCCGTTGGATCGGACTGGCTCCCCAGCAACAGCCTCTCTCACACTATGCAGCGCTATCGCCATCTACTTTTTACTTTTCCTTTTTTATCTCTACTTTTCTTTTTCTCGGATGGTGATGGAAGTGGCGCTGTGCTGTGGCGGCCACTTGGGGCATGGTGGGGAAATGCGGCGCTGGCACTAGGTGGAACTTTGGCCCTGTTTCATTCTTTTTCATTTTTCAAAACGCAAGTCCGCGCAGCACAAATCCCTTTTTCTTTGGACGGAGGAGATATCATATATATCGTCGGGTTTTATTGTGAAAGAACAGAGAGAGGCATGGAACAAAATGTCCTTACGGATGGCTAGATATTTAATTAACCCTGTATATACATACACAGTCAATCACAGATCCCCGAGAGATTCAGGCGTTGTTCAGGGACTTTATGCGTAAAACTTAGCTGTCAAGTTCGGTGCCAACCCCCACGCGAACCTGTGCTATGGGCGCCGGTTTTTTTTTTTTTTTTTTTTTTTTTTTTGAGCTCTGATATTGAGATTTACATTTCCATCTTTTGGACTTACCAGGTCCTGGTGTGTAGAAGTTACGGACTACTACTACTACGACTACTACTACCCACTACATCGGGATGAAATTTGTTTCCCAGGTCATCTTTTTTCTATTGCCGAGCTCGCGGGACTGGCGATAACGGAAGTTCTAGAAAAGAAATACAAAAGCTGAACAGTGCTATGTAGGCAAATATTTATATGCAATAACTAGGTCGCTGTATAACTACGCCTGTTGTTCCCCGATCTGTTTGGCGAGAGGTAGTTAACTCGCTACCAGATCGCCGCGCGAAGGCACAAAGCGCTCAGCTCAGGTACACCTGCCTGCTCTTTGCTGCGAAACCTCATCACGCATGAGCTGTGTACTCCGGATGTATGTATCAACTTCCGCCGAGTCCTTTGGTGCGCGATCGATCGGTTTAGTTAGCTAACTAGTTACGGATTTTCATGACGTGCAACGACGATTAGATAAGGTACTTCGATGTGCATTTTCCACAATAAAAGCCCATGGGATGGATTTTCTGAAACGCTTAGCCGACAGACCAAAAATGGCGCCCGCGCATGGTTCATCCTTGGGCGAGGGAAAATCAGCTCGAATGTCTCGGATTTGATGACGCCGCCCATGTAGCGAAACGCCCATCACCATTGGCAGCAGTGGCAGGGGGTTGATGATGACGCGCTGAGTGGAATCAAAGCTGGACGATGCGTTCTCGTCCAACTCTGTCAAACATGTTTTCGGTTTGGTTGACTTGGACTGTGCCTCTGCAGATTGCGGCAGATGGCACGGCGACACATGGCCGTCTTTTGACAGCATGGACGTTGAAGGAAAAAAAAGAAAAGAGAGGAAAAATTATATAACTGTAAATATACTGCGTACGTATACCTTCATTTTATCCCCTGCCGCTGCACGCAGTCCTCTCAGAGTATTTCTCAAAAAAAATCTGAATACGCTGTGTATAATATCCCTGGCATATTTTTAGATGCTTGTTAGTTCCTCTTAAACCCTGTTTCAAATACAGCCAATTCGTCATTTCCCCCCCGGCCCCTTGCAGCAAAGCTGATAGAGAAACACTGACATCCTCGTTGCCGCAATGACTTCCGCTTCAGCTTCGAACTGGATAGAAATTAACGTTTCTTCGGAACGCAGGGGCAAGGCCTTGAACTAAAGATCGCCTGTCGGGAATGAGCCACCTTTTGCAGAAGACGTTCATACATGACTTTCGGGTTTTTTTTTTTTTTTTTTTTCCCAAAGAGGGCACGTCAGATGTGTATGATATTCAATTATCCACCATCGCCGCTCAGAACAGGAACCAGAACAAGGCAGAACCCAACAGAGGTTAACCGAATAATGGATCAAAAGAACGCAAGGACTCCAAAATCATGCCAGCCATGCGCAGGTGCGCAATCGATGGCTGTAGATGGCGGGTTGCCGATTACCGGTTGCCGGCTGTGCTTCCCCGCGCCCTGTGATGTTGGAAGCCGAGCGAACTTTCCTTCCCATGATGTTCTTTTTGATGAAACAAATTCCTGCGTCAAATCGAGATGAGAGATTTCCTATCTTCGCTCTACTGACTTGCAATACAGGCAGGAGACGCAGCTATGGAGGGGTTCATGAGAAGCAGAGACGGTCTGGGGTTCTTGAACAGATGAGGATGATTTTTAGTCGTTGCTATTTGATCTTTCTGACTTTCCCTCTGTGTACATCCTGCTTGTGCATAATGTGGTAACTAGTCGAGAATCGATTACTGAGCTATTATTCTTCATATAGCTATTAGTGAGGGGGGATGATATCAAACTAGGAGCGTCAGTATAAATATTTCCGGGTATTTGAATAGTGGTTTGTTTCAAGGCGAAGTGTTCCAACGGGACCGAATAGTGGATGTTCTTATATAGGGTTCCCTCCCATCGACTACCGGATCGAATTGAGATCCTAACGATAATCCGCTCGGCTTTTTCCCTTTTTCACTTACATATGTTACATATCTCGGACCCCTTTCCCGTATGTGAAAGTGTTTTTCCTTTGTTTGAAAAGCAGAACCGAGACTGACTTTGAAGCCATGCCCGAGCTATCCTCGTTTGACAAAATAAGGGGTCCATGGATGGTTGGAAACAGCCCTTGTCAGGGCCCCTTTTTTTGCTTCGTATGTTGGAATAACCTTAACCCGCCCAATGCACATGTTATGCGGGATCCTCCCATTTCATGGCTCGCAGAGTCGTTCAATCGGGCCGCTCGCTGAACTGAAGGCATGGCAATCCGACCAGCCATGAGTTAATCAGCCTCGCCTCCCCCCAGAGATGCCAATGTCCCACAGACTCCCGCTAATGCGTCCTTGGTGCCCAGGGACGTTGGGATGTTCTGCCCTGATGTATTATTCACGATCCACAGCACATGCGTCGTGCGGGGTCAACCATCCAGTGGTGGCCTCCTTTTTTTCGGTTCCTGGCTTTATCAATCCTGGATAGTCGCACCGCATCGGTGCTTGGAAGCAACGACGAAACCCGCTTATGGTTCGCGGTAGCGGGTGGTCGCGGGCCATAGACTCGTTCCTCGTGTAATGTTTCTTTTGCCTTTCGTCTCTCGACACTCGAACAAAAAAGGCGGTTTCCTGTCACTCAAATAATTGGCCACTGTGCTAGCGAGCATTTCAACCATCTAACCATTCATGTGCTCTGACCAACGAGTCTAGTTCATCGCCGTGGCCTTTTTTTGTGACATTGAATATCACCTAACACCATCTCACTAAAAGGGGAGTTACTATGGGCGATGGATGCAGCAAACCTCTCAAAATCGGCTGGTTTGAGCAACCCGCCAGGTATCCCGATATATACTTGTGGTTATCGAGCAGCCGATGCCCACAGCTAACCTCCGCCTCTCCTATCCTCCCATCAGATGCAAAAGAAGGCTTATCAGTGTCATATTCATACCTGGCCTCATGGTGTTGGGGGCCCCGTCCCGGGGGCGCCGGTATCCCCGTACGGACGACTGTGGGGGGAAACAATGCCTCTGTATACATGACTTATCTATTGCCGGAAGATCTGCACCAACTGCTTCCCTTCATCCGTCCGTTCAAATAGTTCTGGAATCATTGCGTAAATCATTCTTATGCCTGGATTTACTACGCAGCGCTCACGAGGATATCATCAGAGGCGTAGGTCGTAGAAGGGGGGGGGGGTGGGGTTGGTTGTAGTAGGAACGAGTAAAAGTGTGTGTGACATGCTTGATACCAAGGATGTTGAAGTTATATCGTGTGCGTTCGTTACACAAAGAATCTTTCAATGGGGTCAAAATTTATTAGAACATTTCATACATGCGTTTTTCTTCTACCTGTGCGCCTCACACCCTCCTTCCTCCATCTCTCAACTGCTAAACCCGCTCAATATATCTAGCGAGCGAACGTTTTATTTCTCAAATTGGTTCAACCCCAGCCTTGGTAGACGTAGGGACTTCATAGTCAAACCAACATTAAAACCTTTCCTTAGCCAGCGCCCCGCTTTCAAATCTGTACCCGAGGCAAGCTTGCTGCACTTGAGTTGGAGAGACCAACCTGTGTTTTTGCGGAGCTCGATTTTGCCCGTTACATACAACTGCCCAAGCGGGTTGATGAAAAGACACAACAGCTAGCAGTAACAGGTCCGTAATCCCTTTTCAAGAGCTGGTACACAGCGAACATTGTATGTAGAAGGATATCATCAATAAGCCCACTTTTTTTTTTTTTTTTTTTTTTTTAACTAACTAAAAGAGTAATGTAAAAAATTTTCCCCTTTTCTTCTTTACCCTTGCCTCTTTTAAATCCAACACTCCATTTTCCTGCCTTCCGAATATTCTCCACCATTCTGACCTTTGATACCGAACTAAAACAAAAGTTAACACACGCTGAAGATTCTTTTTACTTTCCCAGATGACAAGTAAAGAATAAAAAAGAATGAATGAATGAAAGAGAGAAAAAGCATCACGCATAGCAACACCTATCACATATTCTCCCACTCTCAGTCTTGCCATCTCGGGAAAGCCCGTTGTGTTTTCGTCTGCCTTAACTATTGATCAGGGCATGGGAGTAGTGGCGTTTGAGAGCTTTGTAGATTTTGTTGGCATTAGAGAGGTTGTGAAATAATTCTAGGGGAAAAATAAGCAAACCATAGTAAGAGTACAACCACAGATTTTAATCAAACGAGAGCGGTAAAGAAAGAAAGAAGAGGGGGGAACGGCGAAACACTAAAACAACCGACAATCACCAATAATTTGAAGCAACAGCCCGTTAAACGACACACGCCAAATTGTATAAGGAAACAAAACTCTTTTCAAGCTAAGACGGTCGTGGATTGGGGGGAACGACGCCTTGTATATCCGTACACCGTGATATATGGCGGTGAAATATAGGTCTTCCTCAACCCCCAAGTTAAAAACGACATGCCTTATGCCATGTAAGCGCTGGAGTCGACACCTCCCTGGGGGTATTCACTGCCAGGATTGTAAGTGTGCTGTGAGTTATAACAAGTTATAACAAAGTTGTCTCGGGAGGACTGTTACTTACGGAAGAGCAACTTCGAACCGCTTCTCGATGTCCTTGAGAACCTCTTGGTCTTGCTCGCTGCTAACGAAAGAGATCGCGAGACCCTTGGTACCGAAGCGACCCGCCCGACCGACACGGTGAAGATAGGAATCAGCGTCCGCAGGCAAGTCATAGTTGATGGCTAGGTTGATTCGTTCAATATCAATACCACGGCCGAAAACGTCGGTTGCTACGCAAATTCGCTTGTTGAATTCCTTGAATTCCTTGTATCGTTTGATACTTAACAAAGGGACAAGATTAGTTGTCATAGCCCGAAGGATGGTGAGGGTTAATAAAACTTACCGCTCTTCCTGCGAAACTCCGGAGTGGACTGCGATACTAGGGAAGTTGCATTCACGGAGGAGCTTGTCTAACTCGCTAGCACGCTGAGTGCTCTTAACGAAGATGATAACTTGGTTAAATTCTAGGCTGTCTAATAGCTCATTCAACTTTCGATTTTTCTCCGATTCGCCAAGTTTAATGTAGTATTGGAGGAGGCCGTGAAGAGTCAGCTTCGTGTCGTCATCAACATACACTTCCAAGGGATTGCGCATGAACTTCTTGCAGATCGGCCGGACTTCCTGGGAGAGAGTCGCGCTGAACATCATGACTTGTTTGTCAGCGGGAGTCGCACGGAAGATCTCCTGGACGTCACGTCGCATATCTAAATAAATATAATCAGTATTGCTTCCTTAATGGATAAGGGGATTCCCGGATCCTAAAATACTGACCGATCTGATCCAACATCTTATCACACTCGTCGAGAACAAACGCTTTGATGTTTCGGAGAGACAGTTTCTTATCGCGAACGAGAGCATTCAATCGACCAGGAGTGCCAACAACGATGCTGGGATATGTGTCTTTCGACGACAGCAGCTCGATATCTTTTTGCATTGGAGTTCCACCGTAGAAAACGGCAGTCTTAACATCTGGAAGATATTTGCTAAATCGGGCATATTCGTTCTTGATCTGATATGCCAGCTCTCTGGTGTGGCACATAACAAGTATCGAGCATTCGCCAGGAACTGGCTCCAGCTGGTGGAGAGTCGTCAGGACAAAGACAGCGGTTTTTCCAAGACCGGATTTGGCCTGGCAGAGGACATCGACATTCAGAATGGCAGTCGGGATGCAAACTTGCTGGACTGTAAAGAGGAGCGACGGAAAAAGTTAGACTGATTCGACCCATTTTAAAGCTTTGATGGAATGTATAGCCGCATTGCGAAAACGTCCGTCCATCACACAATTCTGACAAGAATACGCAAGCATGAAGAAGACTGGCCCCAGATATGAAATGACAGCCAAGAGAGTTGTAACATAAACCCGGAGCAGAAGATGAAAGAACGAGGGTGATTGAAGATGATGGATACGCGGCTATGGAGGTCGACACGAGGATGGCTATTTCTCTTTCGAAGGCGTATAGCTAAAGAGTCTCTGGCATCTAGAATCGTGGGTTCTGGTACATTTCCTACCGAAAATGACCAAGATTGACAGATAGTTATGCCACGCGGCAGAATATTGCCAACCGTTGATTGAATAGCCCCGCTTGCGACGAGTAGCAGTCCCGAGTGCGCTGACTGACATGAAAAACCCTTGATTACACCATAGCTAAATTCGAAGAGACATCCTCGTGTCGCCTGCAGTCCCGCAACAAGACGCGTGTGGATTCCGGCGTACATCAGAAAAACTTCGAGGAGATGGACGGACGTTGCAAGATGGAGCAAGTGGAGGGAGACTTGGGAGAAATGTGATATTTTGTTCAATAAAACTAACCCTCCGATGGATGCTCGAAACCGCAATCGGTGATCGCACGCAAAAGTTCCCCCTTCAAGAGGAAATCGCGGAAACCAGTCGAGTGAATACCAACATAGCTGCCTTTTTTATCCGCACGCGCGCCAGAGACTGTCAAGTCGCCTTCTTTTTTAGGAGCAGCGCCGTTAGCGCCAGCGGCAGCAGTGCCAGCGGCAGCATCAGTTGCCTGAAGCTCCTCATCCGAGTAATCGATGAGATCTTCCTCGTGAGACATGGTGGAAATTTGGAGGAGTTCAAGGTAGGCTGAAGGCCGAGAAGTCAAACGCGGTGGAGATTCGGTGATAAGCCCCAACGTCAATGTCGCAGGAGCGGAATCAAGATGGAGAAATACTGCAACACGAGATACAATGAGCGATGAGGGACAAAGGGATGGAAAAGACTCGGGGGAATAGAGGAGAAGGAAATGGAAATGGAAACGGTGAAGTTGAAGTTGAAGCCTGTTGTCAAAGAAAGAGAAGAGCCCCAACCGCGCTAGCCTTTTTAAGCATGATGTCACCACGTGAGGAAAAAATTGGTTATGGGATTCGATTGGTCCATTCGATAACGCTGCTGGTAACTTGCGCTGTGTCTGAGAAAAAAGCCTGCCAACGATGACTCTGGGCTCTCAAGACATTACCCGAGGAATATCCAGGAGTCAGGGAGCTTAAAATGGCAAAAGTCAAGGCCCAAAAACGGCCTGGGAAAACCGGCCAGAGCCACCTTCGAGCCCGGATTGCATTCTTATACAAAGCGTCGACTTATCTTCAAGCTACGTCTCTACCGAAACCTTCTACAGACAAGAAGCCTAATCATGCTGGGCCCCATGGATCTCATGCCCTATTACAAGAACACGATGAAGAGCCAACTTCGCAACCACTGTTTAGTAGCAAGGTTGCCAGTGATAGCAAAAACTCAACGACTGACAACGCATTCTTCGCTCCAAACCACTTGCAGGAACAACAGCCCACACATCATGTTCCGGTCTCAAAGCTCTCTCGCAATTTAGCTTCCCAGATGCGCGGAGTATCTCTCAAGTCGCAACTGCGACTACCTCACGACATCAAAAGATCGATCTGCAAAGTATGCGACTCGCTGCTGATTCCCAACGCGACCTGTGTGGAAACGGTGGAGAATGCCAGCCGTGGGGGGTCGAAGAAGAAGCCATGGGCTGACGTTCGCGTGGTCCGCTGCAATAGCTGCGGCTCTATAAAGCGGTTCCCACAGACTAAAAAGCAAGAAGCAAAAAGCTTGCGGAGCGCAAGAAGCGGTTGAAAGCCGGGGCAGGATGACCGGACCAAGAGGTCGAACCAGTCCGCGGCGCAGCTACCTGCTGTGGATGTTTTCCGTTGTATTTCCTCTGGATGCCTTCGTGACTCGAAAAGAACATGTCTCGATGAATGGAATATAGATAACTTACTGGACTCACTAAATTCCCGTGTCGATATGGCTAAGTTTCACCTGACTACATGCAACATATCCGATTGACATCTGGATCCTAGGGATAGCGGCATTATTCTTGAAGTCACAGGAGACAGCGTGCGAAGGAGCCGGGAACTTCGCTATGCAAAGGTAGGCGTTTAGGACAGCGCATCGCGAATAACCAGGCGGATACCCATTGAGCCGCCCCAGCTGAAGTATTTTCTGTCCTCTACGTATACCAGCAAACGCTAATTGTTCGTGAGAGAAAAATGGGAGACATGCGGCAGGAAGAAGCGCGATGAGATAGGGGAATCTGAATCTGGAGGCTGGATACTGTGGAATTTATCCTTGCGGGAATCATTACGTCGTAGCCAGCCCACATCCTGATTTAATCATATGTCTGCGATGCACTTATACAGAGACGTGAATACGATGGAGGCGAGGGTTGGTTTAAGAGACAGGAACGGAGGGTAGGACAACTGAGAGAAATAGGGTATTGGTTAATCTAAATGCGATGGCAATAACCCTAGACGTTACCCTCATGACGTTTTCTCACTGATCATCTTTTGTGCTTCTGTCTCCCGTGACGGCGATCAAGTGAATACGTAAGACCCGATAGGGAGAGAGGCCTCTGAGCCCCCTCCCTTTTTCTACACTTAGATTAGGAATAATAGGCATGGAAGCCAATAATACGAAGCAGAGAATTAGTGGGGGAGGCGTGGGGCCACACATAGGAAAATGTCCAGCGTACGAAATCGCTCTGTGCCCATATAGGCCGAAAGGAGAAAGCAAGGGAGGCGAAGAGCAATTTTAGAAAGGAAGGGTTATGATATGGGTTGTAATCGATATATTAAAAAAGGCCTGAAGCACAAATAGCTGGCTTATCGGATATTGACACAGAATCTTGAATAAAACTGGTCGCTGTGGTAAAAGAGACATAGATATGGACTAAGAATTCGGTACCGCTTCGAAGCTAAACATTGAATGAAACAACAAAGGGGAAATAGTTCATACAGACACATATATAAGTATATAATAATAGGGAGGTAGAGGATGCAGACGGTAGGTAGGTAGAGGGTAGTATGTTCTGGTCGGAGAGGGTTTTGACATTAGAATTGAGAGAGCAAGGGAGACGTTCAAACGGTCATAAAACGCCAACAGCCGCTGACGAAGCTGGATTAAGTAGGATAGAGAGAGAGCGGAGTAGGCGAAGAGTAAATTGGGCGAAGGGGAGAAAACCAGCATCAGATTCAGGTCCAGCACACCTTTAGTTTTTTCCACCCACTAACTATGCTTCCTCTCTTCCAGCATTCACCTAGGCAGGTAGGTATGCATAAGTAATCATCAAAATAATAATAATAAAAAGTTTCGGCCGTGAGGCATGTAACCATTCTTCGAAGATTTTGTATCCAAGATAGAAATCGAAAGTAGAAAATAGAAAAATAGAGGAATAGGTATATAGATCGAAATAGGGGCCCCCCTTCCCAAATTCCACAAACAATATTCTGAGCGGGAGATATTCTTTACACCAATGCAGTACTCTTTAATTCCTGCACTGATGCCCACGCATTGTAGACAACACGTAGGAAAGATTGCTGTCCGCGAGGACTAAGATCGGTGATGTATATCGGATATCTTGATTCTGATATGGCGTTGAGCACGGACGATGGCTTTCATTCGATTTATCCGGGTGGCGGTAGCATTAGCGGTCGCGTCAGAGATCAGGACCATCCGGTAATCGGAGAGTGTATCGCGTTTTTCGTAACTGGGAAATATCGCAGCATATAAAGCGGAAAGGAAAAAGCTCTGAAAGGCGTTCCCTCATGGCATCGTAAAAGTGCGCTCATTCCGTTTGACTGAGCTTTCATTACGGGATTGATTTTCGGACACCCCCCTTCCCCCCTCCCTCCCGCCCCCCAAAACCACGTGAAAACCAACATGAGCAGGTGGATGGAGATAAACAAGATAAAATGTCATGTCAACGTCTTCTGCGGGCGGCCTGGTCCAATCGATGGTCTAGACTCTCCACTCTAGATCTGTATTGTTTGACAATGTCCCTGATGCGCCGGATCTTGTCGAATTCGGTTTCCAATTCACTAATATTCTCTAATATTTGGCGCATTCGTGCGATTTCGACATCTGCATTCGCAACAACATTGCCCGCTTGGTCATAGGTATTTTGGATTGAGATTTCGGATTGTTCAGTCAACTATTTAAGGGATGGTAATATTAGCGCTAGCTCCTCAAGATATGAATAATCTGTCAAGGAATGGGCGTGTGAACGTATTGGTATCAAAAGGTATAAAGCGACAAAGGTAGCCTAGAATTTAGATAGAATTGCAACAAACCAACCACGGGATGCACCTACATAATCTATTCTACGCCTAATATCTCTCAACAGATTCTCGAGTTGATAATAGAGCGCTTGCAAGCTATCGGGGTCAAGAAGTAGTCTGCCGTGACTACTCGCAGCGCTGGCGGCACTGGTAGCTCGCGAGCTTGAATTGCTATTCCTCCCCATGCCTCTCCCCCGGGACACAAGGCTACCAGCATGGCTGCCCTGGAGGGCGATCTGTTGCTGGTGCACAGCCATCTGCATCTCGGCGGACGTGAGGCCGAACCGGGCATCAGGAATGGACGTTGACGCGGACATCTGGTATTTGGCTGGTGTGCGCGCAAAGAAGACATGCTCTTAAAACAGAAAGTCGCCAGACACACAGGACGAGGCAGCGCGGGCAGATTGGCAGTAGTTCATGTTGAAGAACAAATGCGAAAGAATGGACTTTTTGGACGGGGAATGCGGAAGATGGAAGGGGAAACGGGTCTTGTTGTATTATAGATCTTGTCGATTCTCCCAGACAGGCCTTATTCTGCACTAAGGACCAATAGTGGCATCTGGTTCAATCCGAGAGAGGTCACAACGCGGGTAGCTTTGAAGATGACGAGCAGAATGGCAGCCACACCGGGCTTTTAGCTCGGTGGAGGCTGAAGCAGTGGCAAAGACACAGGAGGAGAGATATGACAGGGGGAGGAGAGAGAGAACACCAAGATTAGCGAAGAGAGGGGAGATAGAGAGATATATATTGACGATGGGAATGATGAAGTGGAGGATCTGGAGGATCTGGTGAAGATGCGGCAGGTCTGAGATTGCGGAGGTTGAGCTGGTGACCTCCAGCAAGGGGAAGACACACCGCAGCCTTCACGCCGGATTCTATGAACTCCTTGTTATTTCTGCTTACTTATTGTCATTTAATATAGTTAAAGTTGTAATTACAATATCTGTGTCTGCATACAGAACAGAAAACATGGTGGGCTCTGTCCCTGGTAAATACATATATCTATTTTTTTAAACTCGCTCAGATGCGATATCAGTCCTCACGAGAAATAGAAATAAAAGTAAAAGTAAAAATAAGAATAAAAATACAAGCCAAAGCGCCAAAGAAGAGTCAAAAGGTAATCCCCCATCGCCGGCCTTAGTAGATGAAACAAAGAAGTCAAATGTCCATCTGGATCGGATGGGGTTAGAAGGAAGAAATATCCATTCCGATTTTCATCCTGTCAGAAAAATGAGGGGCATCAGAGAAGTGCTGAAGCTATGTATGTATGATCTTTCCTGTGCCCCAGATTTTAATATCCGTGAATGAATCAATCCCCTCTCCGACGCCGCCGTTATCAGCCTGTCAATTGGCAGCCAGCCATATCCTACACAACCAAGTTTGTTCGGCATCACTGATCAGGTATGGCTCGCATCTCCTGCGCATCCTCGTCCGAGTCGTCCCTCGGTCTAGCCTGCTGCCTCTGCAAGTCACACGCGCACGTCGCTCTTCCAAGGGTTACAGCGGCCTACGCCGTCACCGTCAACCGTTGCCGGGAACAGACGGCGGCCAGGCCTCAATCAAGAACGTCCTTGTCCATCTGACGGGTGGGCTTCACTGCGCCATTGGTTCTCCATTCTCGGATATCCTGTTTCCCGCGTCGTAAAACATCAGAATCCGAAACCAGGAAAGAAATGGATTCCAAAGGTGATCTCATCGACTGTAAAATACTGAGCAATCGTTGGCGGTCGTGGCATATTGTCTCTCTGTCCCCCTTGCCAGGCTCCGCGCATCTGGCGGCATCGCATAGCTCTGCAGGGTGCATCGTAGGGCTTTCGGCTGCCCAACCTGTGAGGCTCAGGCGGGAGAGTCTTCCACGGCGCATTCAATTGGCCCTGAACCAACTTTCCCCAGAAAAAGAATTAACTTCAGTTGCTCGTTTATGCATGCCTGCATGGAAGTAGTGTTCATCTGTAATATGTAGTTGGGCCGGAACCGTTGACTGGCTGTAAGCTCCCCAAGCTTCTCCCCATTGTTTGGGTGGTGCGGGAGGGAAAATTTAAATAACCTCCAACCTGCAGAAATCGGCAGCCAAACAAACACCGTCGTCGCCTCTTCGGCTTCGTTCAGCTTCCAACCTACCCACTACTGCAGCGCTTTTCTCCAGTCACCCTCTGCTAATTCCCTTTTCTACAGGGCTATTTGATCGTTTGCTGGTTTTCTTTTTCTCCCTCCGTGCCCTGACAATTCAATTTTGTGTTTCTAGTCCTTTTCTCGATGGCGAAGGACAAGGAACGCTCCATCAACCCCGCCCAAGCCCAACGACGGCTGGAGAAGGCGAAGGCCCTCAAAAAGGGTAAAGCTGAGGTCCAAGCTCGCCGGAACGAAAAGCTCGCGCGTCGCAACCCGGACCGGATCCAGCGCCAAATCGACAATCTCAAAGCCATAGAGGAGTCGGGGCAACCACTGAGGCCGACCGAGAAACAACACCTTGAAGAACTCGAGAGGAATCTCCGCGCAGTCAAGAAGGCCAGAGAGGCGCTTGGTGAGAAGGCCCCGAAATTTGGTGGAAGCGAAGCTGGACCGGGGACTCATCCCCATTCTGATCGGGGAGGCCGTGGTGGTGGTGATCGCGGCGGGGTTCTGGGGAAGAGAAGGCGGGATGGCCAGGATAGCGGCCGGTGGCGGCAACGCTATAACGGTGATAGCGATGACAGCAGCGACACGGACGAGAGCGTTCGACGGATTCCCATGCCGAAAGACACTCCACCGCCCATCCCTCGCCAGTATCATGCACCCCGCCGCGCAACCAATGCAAATATGGAGCCCCTTGGTGAGGGTAGAGGGCGAGGGGAGACGCATGGTACTGTCCCTGCTTCTATCGCTTCTATGCAACCTAAACCTGAGGCGAAAACGGTTTACGAAGCGGCACCAGTCATCAGGGACCTACGGAAGGAAGCCGTACGTAAGTTTGTCCCGACTGCCGTGCGGATGAAACAGGATGCCGTCAAGGGCCAACCCGGCAAATTGTTGGAGCCTGAGGAGATGGATCAACTTGAGCGATCAGGTTATTTACCGGGTGCTACGCAAGCTGGCCAACCTGGATCGTTTGTTGAAGCCAGAACTGCTGGAATTGGAACTGGCTATCCCGCAATAGACGCTACACTCATTACAGACCCTGATGCTTCAAAGACAAGAACCGTGCAAATAGAGGACGTTGAGGATGAGGATATCTAATAAGAGTTCTACTTTGACTGAACCTGCTCTTTTTACTCTTTCCCGTATCCTTTGTATATCCTCAATCGGATTGCAGCGCCTGTCGATCTTTCACAAAATACCCTACGGTTTCTGGCGCCGCATACAGAGGAATTTTCGGATTTTAGTATCCCCAAAAAACGGAGGCACATTTTAGTCGTCGTCATCAAACATCTGTTTATTACAGAAATAGTGATTAAAAGCAAATGCTGTCACAAACCGCCTGCCTACACACCACAAAATAAGCCCGAACCCGACCACCTTCAGCCACGATGATCCTATATTTACCCATAACATCATTTCAATCGAAATCATCGACATTTCCCCTTGCATCCCTATCCGTATTCCTCATCCTTCGTCCCTTATCCTGGCCAACCTGCCTCTCACTCCGCAAACCAACTTACCCCTCCCTAGTTACACATAATTCAGAGCACAAGTATATGCAAGGGGAAACAGGGTAACGGCATTTCTTCCTCACCCAGAAACGTGCAGCGGAGCTCACATCTTGGGCGATGGCGGTTGCGGTTGCGGCATAAGCAAGGTGGCAGTGATTGAGTGGGGACAGAACGGTCAAAGTTGGCCTAAGTGGGGACGATTGAGGACAGGAGGAGATCCATTTGGAAAGATATGTGTTCAAGTGGATGCATGGGGTTTGAGTTATATGCAGGACAAGCGTTATTAGCGTACAGTGTTCTTTTACGAAGCAACAGCATTTGGTTTATTTTGGCGCACTCTGGTTAGATGGGCGTTATTTGGCACTGCTCTGGGCGCTGTGGCCTTGAGAATTGCATGTATGCAATTTGTATATACGGGATAGGTAGCATTTTCAGTTATGCGTGTACTGTACATTACTATTTGATACCTAACCACAAATTGTCATTCTTATAACCATCTACAAATCTCGTGAGCGAGATAGTTTCACCTCCCAGCCCGAGTCTCGCCGTGCCCAACATCCACGACCCAGAATTTTCTCCGTGTTTGTTAGTTTAGGAGGGGTAGTACAGGACGCGAACAGAATCGTCAGATGAGATATTTGAGATCATGTAGCCTTTCCAGGGCTGCCGTTGCAGCTTTATTGGGTGTTCGTGAAGATACTACAGCATGTACAGAACAACGTCAGGAAGTATGTGAGGTGAGTGCATTTCAGGGTCATTTTTCGCACAGTGCATCACCTGTACGTATATCAAAATGGGTGAAAAGAACGAAAATTGAACCTAAAACAGATAAATGGAAATCTAACGACATCAAATCAGATAAAGCCTCCCACTGCTGCCTTGGACGGATTGATTCGTAGCCGTCGACAGAGTATAGACTATTTAACATATAAAAATAAATTCCTCCAAATAGACCTCGTTAACGTTAAGGAGATGTAGAAGGGAGAAGACAAAGGTATACCAACAAAAGAGAGGAGGAGGAAAAAGTATCAGAAAGTCCGCAAGACAAAAGGCAATGAGTGGAATGGGGATATATTAACAGGAATGGAAAGCAAGGTATGGTACGGTGGGACATGGGAAGCCAGCGCGCAACCGTCGGAGAGAGAAGATATGACGAGAAATGAAAGGCAAAGAAAGGCAAAGAGAGCGCATAGATTTAAAGGATGGATATCACGAGTCCCTGGCGAAAAGCCTTGTACTTTCAAAAGATGTTGCACCTGAAAAAGAAAAATAGAAAGAAAACAAAAAGCAAAAAACAAGTAACAAACGGCCTCGCCATGCCAGTAATGCGCATAATATGGAATAAAATAATAAGAATAGGAGAGGAACGAAAAATAGCAAGATTTATTTCCAACGGTCTTGGGTACCACAAGCGATGATCATTCAAAGAACATGCAATGGCATCAGTTGTAAGGAGTAAAACCCGTTTCGTGGGCCTATCCTGTATTATAAGTTGCTTCGCCTGATAATCGTGGTAAGCGACCCAACAGCAGTGGCTAATTGAGGCATATGCAACGCCGTGGAATGTAGCTATCTCATCAACTCTTTGCGCCGTCTCAGGAGTATGAGGTAGAAGTGACAAAGAAAAAGGATATCCAACCGAGTAAGCGCCAGGAGTCTAAATACCAAACATAGGGAAAGAAAAAATGACGAAGAATTCGAAAAGCCTCGACCGGACGGTGAGATGTGTCTTTCCAAAAATAACCCAACACACTGCTTGTGAGATAGGCAAAAATGGCTTAATGAGCCTGCACGGAACCTGACCCCGGATTTTCAACGACAATGCTAATGGCGTCGATGTCCAAATACGTAAGCACGGGATTTCTATCTAAGGTTTCGAATGACCTTGGCTCCCCTAGCCAAAAATGGACTGGGCATCTCGTCTCGTTCCGGGTCCCAGGTTGCTGGGGGCTCTCTTTCGACTGTTCTCATGCTGTCAACGACACGTGTATGGGGAGAAAGCCCCGTTGTCGGAATCCTGGATTCTCCAGGATTCCGCTCGGTGTCTTCGACTGGCCTGCCACCTGCCCTGGCTTGAGCAAGCTCGACAAGTGTCCGACCACCCATGTTCCGCTGCAGAACAGCTTTGAACATTTCCTCACCGCCTGCGTTTCCTTTGAAGGTGGGTGGTTTGGTCCCTGCCCTGCGGGGAGATCCTCCCTCTCCAGCGAGATTTGCGGAAGATGAGATCTTCATTAAGCGACGGGGTGATTTTACTTTTGCTTCCGAAGCTGCATTTCTAAGATCATTGTGTGATGCTGCAGTGGCGAGATGGGGTAGGCCTGAACCCCTGGAGGGAAATAGGCTAGGTTGCGTGCTTAATTTTTGCATCATGGCAGTTGTATTTTGCCGGAGCAAGGGTCTCACAGGGGCCTTTATAGGATCAGGCCTAACTCTGGGTCGTGTGGGAGAAGGCACATCGGGAATATCATCTTCGTCATCCGAGTTATAGGCTAGGCTTGGGTCCCATTTGAGATTGGACCTTGCGCCCTCCGCAAAAATATTTTTGGAGTGGCCATTTCCAGCAGTGCGGCGTGGGGAAAGGGATAAGGAAGCAATTGACATAGGAGATGGTTCGGCCATTTGGATATCATTGGGAGATTCAAAGGTGGTTTTCGAGCGGCTGAATGGTGTACGAGTGGCTTTCCTTAACGGTTTACTACTCTCAGGTGTTGGGGATTCAAGAGAGATTTCACTCAGATCAGTGGAGGAAGGGAAATCGTCGTCTGCAGTCCCAGTTCCAATAGATGACTGGCAAGAGTGCTCCGCTGACGAAGTAGTTTCGCCTTCATCAATGGTCGACGGTGATGCACTCTTTCTGCGTTTCTGCATCTCTGCAGCAATTCTTTCTTGGACTTCCGCATCAAATCGCTTCCGAAGCCTCTCGAGCTCCATTTGAACCTGCCGATCAATCTCGAGCCTTGCCTTCACTTCCCACTCGCGGCGAACCTTGCTCTCGATGTCAATTTTCATAGCTGCTTTCTCCTTGTCGAGACGTGCGTAGTTGAGTTCGAGCTCCTTCAACCGCTGCGACACGGCTTCCTCCCGTTTGCGCAATGAAATACCCAAGTCCACGACTTCTTTCTCCTTCCGCATGAGGCGAATAACTGGCATGTTCAGTAATGAAGCTGTGTCAGGCCGGTTGTCTGGGTTAACTCTTAGGCAACTCGCAATCACACTTTTGAGCTCAGAAGAATACATGTTTGGTAGAGGAGCATATTTTCCCTCTCGAATTTTTTGGATAAGTTGGATATGAGTCCGGGCGTTGAAAGGAGGCTCCTTCTGGCACAGTTCATACATGATGCAGCCGACCGCCCAGATATCAGAGTAGAGCGTATACTTTTCCGCGGCACAGATCTCTGGAGACATGTAAAAGGGAGTTCCAACGTAGGTTGAAGCGAAATCGTGAGATCCCATTTGCTTCGATAGCCCAAAATCACCCAACTTGACAGACTGATCCTCCCCGAGGAAAACTGACACGATTGATGGTCAGCCCAATCCAAGAAATAGAGTTTTATTGCACGTACTATTTTCCGGTTTTAGATCACGATGTAGAATCATCATTTGGGCCTGTTTCCCTTTCAATCCCGAAGGCTTATTATTGGGTGGTGGCCCCAGAACATTGGATCCCGCTTCTGGGGGGTCCACTCCGTAGTGACACCTATACAACGCAGTAACGAGCTGAGAAAGTATCCGCCAAACAAACTCCTCTTCTGCATATTTACCCGTCGCTTTCAAGTTCTTGATCACCATTCCAAGATCTCCACCACCACAGTACTCCATGTAGAGATAAAGATCCTGGGAAGCTTTCAGGTGCTCTCTGTGGTAGTATGCGACGATGTTGGGGTGTCGCAGAGAACTGAGGATATTGAACTCCGTCGTGAGTTGTTCGCGCTCCTTTTGCGACATTTTGACATAGTTGATTTCTTTGCGACAAAGGATCTGGAATCATCTGTTAGCTGCTTTAAATTGAAACGGATACTGCGGCTTCCCGGTGTCCGTACATAGCCATCAGACTTGCGTCTAACTTTGCGAATGACCCCAAATGATCCGCATCCTATCAAGCATTAGCAATATACTATTGGAGGTTTCCGAGAGAGAAAATGGCGCTTTTACCTATCCGTTCCAACACATCATACTTGTCAACTTCCGCCAGTGCAATAGCCATGGTTCGCTAGGAATGGCGAAGAGCTTGTAATAAGAAAAAAGGAAGCAATAAAAGTCAATACATGAACAAACTCGTAGACCCGAATGAGCTGCAACGTTAGTATATTCCGCACAACGACGAGCGGTGATGTTTGCAGAAGGAAGTTAAAAATTCAGTGATCAATATCAAATCACACAGCTTGGTCTCCCCGTTTTGGCTGCGTTGCTAAGCAACCAGAGCTGGAGTACATAATTAGCCGTTTCAGGAAAGCGGTGTAAATACTGCCAAAAACCACACTGACAATTACATACAATATGCGAAAAGGTCGACATACATAATAATATTTAAAGATCGAGCTCAATTACACTATAACTATATCCTTAAGGACAAATTTTATTTTATTATTGTATTCACTATTTGAATAGCGTCAAGTCCATTTAGTCCAGACAGTCGTTACAAACAGGCTTATTTAAGTTTTGTGGGGAAATTACCAGATTTGAGATTGATAAGATAACGTTTTAAGTGGCACAAGTGATAACCCGTCCTTGGCATTGCTGACTAAATAGTTTTTTCTCCAGTCTCAACCCTCGAACTCACAATCCCTTGCTCCGTATAGTCTTGTGTGATGCGCTGCACTCGATATTAGCGCTTTTGACCGCTTCAGATATTCCAGAAATCACTACACTGCGTAAACACGAGCTATAAACCACGCTACATGATCAAAGATGGGACGCTCAAGGAGGACAACGCCCTTGACCTAAGCCAGTCCTTCACGGAACTTTGCGAAGCATGTCGAAGAGGTGACATGAAAACCTGTCAAGAGAAGATTATAGAGGGCGTTGATATTAATGCGAGAGATTCGTTTGATTGCACGCCGCTGATCCTTGTAAGTAGTGGTTTTTCTTCATGATTTTTGCTGCACCACCATTTGCTTATTATCTTCGGTTTTAATTCCGATGATTGATATGCGACATGGCTTGCCCTAAGCGGTCGTGATGTTTTTTTGGGATTGACTGTATGTAAATAGGCTAGCCTTTGCGGTCACTATGAAGTGGTACGGCTTCTCCTTGACTCCGGTGCATTGTGTGAGCGTGATACTTTTCAGGGCGAAAGGTGCTTCCTCCTCTCAATTCCATTGGCCAATCTGTTGGGATTTCCTGTTAATTCTCATTGTTATTATTAGATGTCTATATAATGCGCTGAACGATAGAATACGAAATTTACTCCTTCAATATGATTATTCGAAATCCACTGATCCCTTACAGCCGTTTGCAGCTCATCTGGCCTCGTTATTATCACAAGATCGCCCTTCAACTTCAGATATTGTAGTCACAGCATTGGATAAACAATTTCAATTACACAAATTTGTATTATCTGCGCGCTCGCCGTCCTTTGCAAAGAGGCTATTATTTGCCCCTGCGGCCAAATCGTGGAAGCTTCCACCTACAATCCCCCCAGAAGCGTTTGACATAGGTGTAAGGTATCTGTACCTGGATGAAGCGCCATCGGAGTTGAGATCTGGACCGGGAACTGGTTTCACCGAAGCAGAAATTTTGGGTAGCGTTGAAAGAGTTGCTAAATATCTGGAACTTACTGGTCTCGTCGAGTCCATTCTCGACAGGGGAGATAGAAGGCTGGTCAGACAGCGACGAGCGGAGGCAACTTCAAAGGGACGTGACCAGATGGAATCGTGGTTTCGAGAAAATGTTCTCAAGTGTAAACTTGTCATTGAAACTGACAAGGTCAATAAGTTGAAAGTGAAAAGGGACAATAGGATATTTGCTGATATATTACTTCGTGCGGATGAACCTGTGGTCGATGAGCTGCGACAGACCGAAAACATGCAAAAACTAGATGACCATGACTCCGCAACCGACGACCAAATTCCAGTGGGCCCAACACCACGGCTGTCGTCGCCTGCCCCGTCACTGCCGCCACAAAAGCCTCGCAAGTCATCTATTTTCCCCGCCCATAAAGCGATGCTTCTCCGCTCCGATTTCTTCAGTGTGATGTTTTCTTCCGCCTTTAGGGAAGCCCAAATAACGGAGAATTTACAAATAATACGCATCGACTGTTCTCCTGAGGCGTTGGAAGTCGTCCTCATCTATTTATACACAGACAGAGTCGAATTCCCATTACCGCTAGCTGTTGAAGTTCTTTATGCGGCAGATATGCTTTGTATTGAAAGGCTGAAGTCCAAAGCAGCGGTGTTGATTAGCTCCCTTGGAAATGGCAACATGAAACCGAAACAGGCACAGAACGAGCACGAAAAAGCTACCAAACAGGCAGATGCCGCTCAAAAAGGAAATCAGCAGGATGTAGATGATGAAGACGTAGATATTTACGAACTCATTCGAGCAGGATAGACGTTCCGCGTTCAGCGCCTAGAAGAATTCGCCGCTCGATATCTTGCTTACCGCCTTGAGTCGCACATTGATTTGCCGGAATTTGCGGAACTGGTTGCCGAGTCAGCAGCCCGTATCAAAGAGCGGCAGGAAACTGATTCCATCGAACTCGTGGACGATATTCGATTCTATCTCAGCGAGAGATTCAGGTTGCGGTTCGAAGATTCTGGCCTGGACCAAATCATGGACGAAACCCGCAAGGTGGCAAAGGGCGATGGCGGTGAGGATGGCAACCTAGTCGAAGCGAATGCCCCTTCTAACAATGATGGCGAAACTGATACTCCCCATCCAGGACCGGGAGCTTCGAAAATACGAGAAGGTGAAGCCATTAATGTCAGCGACCACAAACTTCCACCAGGAACTGGTTTGGCTTCTGACGATCTGAGCCATCCCTTCAGAACTCTGGACGGTCATGTTGCAGGAGACGAGTTTGCGAGGGACGCTGCGGACTATCAGATTTTACTGGATAAACTGGATCGTCTCTTGGAGAAGCTTGGTTTGGAGGCATAGGTCGGTCGGCTTTGAGGCATTATTAGCGACATTATACATAAATTAGACAAGATCATCATTTTTGTCCTTTTCAGTTACAAAGCTGGAGAGATGTCACTGTTCGTTGAAGCAATTCGTGTTGAATACACCAGACAGTCAATTACTTGTCAAATATGCTATTACCAATGAAATTCCACCATAGCTTAAGAAGCTTTTCAAAGTTTTTTGTACAGTACAATTGAAACTTAATCTTCTGTAATATCTATCTTCTAAGCACCTGCTGCTATACTGATAATTGAGATGCCTACACGTATGACTGCAGAGAGAAGATCCTCTGAGACGTCACATAAGGTTTTATGACAAGGATCGGTAAAGGTTGGCAGGCTTGACGATCAGCTTAATCAATCAGGAAGCTGACTAGATAGAATCTAATGAGTACATGCTGGACGCGGGAAGGCCCTTAACAGCAACTTGATTAAAAAAAGTCACACGATATCGTAGCTAGCAGCTGCTATAGGAGCCTGTGCTCAATATAGAGGTATGTATAGGTAGTATATACACCCGGGCTCTTATTTTACCCTGTCCAGTTCTCTTCCATACGAAGCTTGTTTTCGCTCTTCTGTTGCTGATCCTCAATTTGGCTCGAATACTAGTATACGTGGACATGCATCGCATGTTGCATGCTTGTGTGTGCAGTACCGACGTCATTAGCTCGCCTCCTGCGAGCAAGCAGCAGGTTATCCATCTCATTTCCCTCCGCAGGCTGCCAACGTCCAGTCGACTGGGAACTTGAGAGAGCGCCTAAAAGCTTTCTTCAGAAATAAGACGCAAAATAAATTCACTGTTCATTAACGGGTTTTGAAAGACGGCGCTGGCATAACTACTTGTCGACAGTTTATTCCAAAGACAATGGAAATGAGATATTAAAAATTGTGACTCAGAATAGGTGGGAAATGATTCGCGTGTTTAAAATTGGATAAATATATACATAACATAAATACATAATAGAAGTGGAAAATGAACAAAGGGAAGAGGGATGCTTCTGTTGGAAAAATAGGAAGATAGATAAACACACCGGAGAAGGGTAAAAGATAATAATAATAATACATCTGAGGCGTGAAAATGGGCGTGACAAAATTTGTTTTCTATAACTTAGCCCAGAAGAGTGACCACATGAGATAGTGTATGCCTCTTCCGCTTTCTATTTCTCCTTTATCGGGGCTCCATGCATCTACGCAAGTCCCCAGATCCACTTTTGTTTCTCCCTCTCTTTGTATTTTTCTTCTTTCGTTTCAGTGCAACAACTCTCTTCTAGCACGCATCAAGACGTTAATTGTCCCGGGGATTTCCGTCCTTTGTCGGTTTAGACGTTGGACGGAACGTGCTAGTAGTGAAATTGAGCTCGTATAATTTATATTCTTTTGGAGATATTTGGACCCCTGTGCAAGACAAGTACCATCTATTTGTCGACGCCGAGTATATAGATCGTTGTTGATTCTCACAACAGCAGCTGGGCTATATCATTGTGAGATCCAGAGGTTTCTGCATCATTTCGTCGAAAGTTTGGCTCCTTGGTCCTCTCGCCCTTACCCACGGTTATGGAGGGTCTCGAAGGCTGGAGGGTTGGGTTCGGACAGCTAGAGCCTGTCTGGATTCTAATTTCGCGGAAGGCGGTTTCATTTTCACATTATTGGGAACAGAATTTCCGGATCGGGTTTCAAATTCAAGACCAAAGATAAAAAAACAGTAGAGAAATAGATAGTTCTAAAGATAATTGGTATCTTGCCGTTCCAGGAACAATAATGGGACTGCTGGTCCTCCCAGCATCATATCCAATATTCGAGCTCGTCATGTTGAGTTGTAAGCCAGAGAGCGAACTTGTTAGTGTTCTTCAGTCTCCTTAATTCACCAAAGCTGCTTGCGTAGGTCTGCCTGTATGACAACCCCGCTCATGTCGCTTCATGTTACTCCTGACACTAAATGACTTGCCACAGTTGACATGCGGGCATTTGAATGGCTTTTCGCCGGTATGGCTGTGCGAGTGAATCCGTAGACTAGAAGGCCGAGAAAACGCCTTGTGACATATTCGACAGATATACCTGTCATGATTTTGTGGGTAGGGAGCCGTATTTGACGGTGGAAAATAGTGGTGGTGTTGCCAGGTTGAGATCATCGAATGGTGATGGTGCTGTTGCGCTGGCGGGGCTGCCAGAGGAATAGATGTCGAGAAAGAAGGGGGATGGGATGGGCGGTGATAATATTCCGTAGAATTCGCTAGGGGTTCAACTGGGGAAGCGAATGGAGTCGAGCTGGTGGGTAAATTGGAGGATGGAGCGTAATGCTTTTCGGGTAGAGAGACAGGAGAATTTTGAGATACGGACGATCTGGTTGACTGCGGGGGTAACGGACCTTGGGGCATCCGATGCTGGTAGGAAGGGTCCGCCGATGACGAACTTGTGAGATTGGCTACTGAAATGGGAGAGTGTGCAGACGATGGCGACGATCCGGAAGGAGAGTGATTTCTTCCATCTAATCCGGAGCCTGGGCGCATGGGAGGGGTCGGTGGTAAAATCATTCTCGGCCTGTGTACGGGCTTTTGGGTGGCTCCATGGCCCTGCGATTTTAAATCAACTTCTCCAGTTGAGAGTGAATTGGGACGATGTTTTTCTGATCATGAAATTTAGTAGGTGTATCAACATGAATACTGCAGCGGAATTCGTACTAGCTACATGAACAGGAGAGAGTTGGTCAGCTCCTTGCAATAAACTCGATATTGAAGGAAGAGAGAATCTGGACTGCTCTTCGACAGGTGGGGATAAGGGTGGTTGAGGAGAGCGGGCATATGCAAGATTTGAAGCATTGCGATCGTAGTATCCGTTCGATACAGATAATGAAGATTCGCTCTGCAAGGACTGGCGCTTTTGCGAAGTGCCTGAGTGTGGATACGTCGAAGGAGGGCTATGATAGCTGGTCACCAAGTGGGATAAATTCATTTTTGTGCCCAAGACGTCGGTAACAAACGTTGACCAAAGTTGACGATAGTTGTTGTTATGGATATATCGTATATCAAATCCGGTATTGTATGTGTAGTGGCGGACGGATGGTCAAAGGGTAGGAGAAGAAGTGTGAGTTGAACAGGGTCAGAAATCCAGGACAAGGGCTCCGAGCAGGTTGATATGGGATCCCTAGTCAGGCTTGTGCAGGCCGCGACGGGTGGATTATGAGGAAAGTTTTTAGCCTGACATGGGTCGACGAACGCTAGGTCCAAAGATCTTCCAGAACCCAGCGGGGGGGAAAGGGGCGGTCGAAAGACTAGTGGGGATGATGCTTTTTCTGCTCCCCTCTGGCGGCCTCGGCAGTAGCAGGGGAAGAAGGGGTGTTGAAATGATAATGGCTCGGTACTATGTAAGCAGTTGTAACGCAGAGCATCGACCCCAACTTTGTGTGGGAATGAGATAACCATTTGTATCCACCCACCTCCACTGCGTACCATCGGACTTCAGCAGGGCATGATCCGGTATTATTATCCAATCAATAACAGGAAACTAAATCGAGGCCGCCATTTTATTTGAAGATGCCTCAACATTGGAACGGGCGTCAACACATGGCTTGTAATGTGTAAAATAGTGAACGCTGGTTATAAAAAACAAAAAGAAAAAGAAAAAGAAAACAAACAAACAAACGTGATGACAATATCGTGCTTCTTGTCCGATCCTCCACCCAGCAACAAAGCGGTTAGATTTTGGGTAAAGCGGTGATAGCAAACATGGGGTCACTGCTGCCTGGAGGAGGTATGGACAGGAAATCGGAAATCCATTGTTGCTGTTGAGACAAATCCCCATCGAACCAGCGGTATGCCAGCCGTTGTTCGGTGACCATGACGCCCCCTGGTTTCGAGATGCGTGCACAGGACGATGTACGGTTCGGTTCCGACCTCAGGAAGCTTTTAGCTACCTCGTGGCTGTTTCCGTCACTGGTGCAGCTGGCTCTCCACATGACTCGTGGGGCTTGGAGCGCCTGTTGCTACTGGCCGAATCCATGCATCGAGGACCATGGTCGATCTCCGCCAGCAGCCAACAACGGGAGAAAGCAAAACAAGCGAGGGCTGCTTCCCAGCAATCCAGAGAAGCAGCAGGCTAACGATGCATTGGCCGAACTCTGTTCTCGGGCCCATTTTTATCTAGGTGAACTGAGTGGCTCGGTTAGCGAGTGCCCCCAACGGGATGATAGCGTATAAGAAGTGAAAAAGAAAAAAAACGAAAGAAAAAGCAAAAAAAAGGAAAAAAGAGAAACAGTATTCTCACCAGCCGTGGCGATCCGTCTCTCCCCTCAAGCTACTCCTTAGCGCAGATCAGGAGACCAACAATGGACGGGACGCCGACGGCGATGCTCGATTTTCCTGGGAACCGCTAGCTGAGTGGATTTGCTTGCGGCAGTTTACGAACCCATGAGCATGCCATTGGACACATCTTGCCATAGAAGTGAGGATACCCAAACCGAACGGGCTCGGAGTGAAGCATAAATAACAATTGACAATGTAAGGTTTTTTTTCCCTCTTTGCGTTATGCAGCAGCATTGGCCCACCATCGCCTCAGCCTATAAACCCGTCAGCGCCGAAACACACTCTGGACGATTGGCGTTCTCCGGGGAGAGCTTGGGGAGTTCTTACGGGCAGATAAGACATGCTCAATCGATGGTACTATGGATGGTGGCGGCTGTTGCGCAGTGGCTGGTCTGATTATTTTGCGGCTGCTGGAGATCATCCCTGTAATTCATCTCGTACCCAGGCCACCAACTATCACATCACTCCTGGCGTCAATAATAATAATACACGGCCAATCTTTGCACATCGAATCCGGCCCCAAGCGAGCAGCAGGAGCACGCGGTGGTGGGATTTGCGAAACACGCACCGGCTCCCCACCCCCCTTTTTTTTTTTTTTTTTTTGGAAAATACCCACCACAGACTGAGGGAGGTAGGGATGTAGCAGGGCCGTCAAAGGACAGTATCCTGATGGGGTTTGTTTCTCAAGGCGCGAAGGATGAGACAGAGTTGTTCTCGATGACATAGTCAAACCTTGAAATACTCGTTGGTTTTCGAAGTTTACAAATTTCCCTGTTGGGTAACCGACTGAACGTGAAATTAGTTTTTGTGTGAAAAAAACAAAGCCACAAAAAAAAAAAAAGGCATTCCTTGAGCATGTTTACGCCCTATACCACAAATCAAGGTCCAATCCGCTCGTGTCCTGATCCATTTACTTTATCAATCACAATGTCTGATTTCCTTTTCTTTTCAGCGTTGAATGTAATAGGTTTGTTTGAAAACCGGGGGTTGAGGATCCCTTCGTGACCTCTCATACCCTGCTGTTCACAAGCGGAATTACGCTGAATTTCCCCAAACCAGGGGTAACTAGGGGTTGGCGAAATTATGATTAAAACAATCAATGACCTGCTTCGCCTGGCCCACTTCTGATCCCTGCGTACGATCCTCCTTGTTTGCTGACTTGTCTGAGGTCGAAGGGAGCTGATTGTCCTGATTGAAAGAATGAGCATACAGGGGGCCAATATCCTCACGCTTCTCCCGAGAAATCATTTCCATGGCTCGATCGAACAAGGCCATACAGATCACTCTGGATTCAGTCGGCTATTATCCAGTCAAAAACGTGCCTCCTTGGGCAAAGTGCCCATAGTCGACAGCGGTGCCACTTTTTGCCCACGGTCATTCTTGGCAGAGAGGAGGCGGTGCAGCAATCTGTGGGCTGCAGGAATCCCTAGACACTGCAGCTCCAAAAATAATACAGGAATAGCCTTTGTTCGATGAACTCCGCAACAGCCAATAGTGGGCTGGCTGAGCGCCCATGCCGCCATGCGGGTTGAATTGTTCCACTGGAGGACCGCAAGCATGCATCCGAACATCCTCGAGGCCTGATGCACCGATATCACATCACCATGCTTTGCTACCATGAGCAACTGACGCACAAGGGAAGTGGCACGTTTCTCTGGAGTTTCCCCGGTCGAATCACCCTTCAGCAGCTCATCGAAGGCGTTTTTGAATTACACCTTGGCATAGTTAATGCTCTCGGTCAATGTCATGCTTCATAGTCAGGGTTTCGAACGGCAAAGGGATCGTCGTTAGGCCAGACACTAGCTTCGTTGTTCACTGTACGGAATTGGCGCACGATAATACACGGGCAAGCGGACTTCTCTTCCCGCCGGCACGGCAGAGAAAAGGAAAGAGGTGTCGAGAGAAAAGAAACGGTTCACTGCTGCCAACGTTTCAGATTTCCATCTTGCGCACGGTCGTTCGAACAATAAGCTCGATCTTTGCAGGTGGCTTCCTCACCAAATTATTACGGTGCTTAGGCCTGTGCTAACTAACGAACCTTGCTGACAAATTTCATGCTTCGATTCTTATGTGCAGAAAGTGAAATTTTATGCAAACGCTCTGTTTTATCTGGACGACGACGATCCTCCGGACAACAATAATGGCGCTGCTCGTGTTTTGCTCATCCTGTTCCTCCCCCACCCGGTTCAGGCTAATCTAGTAAATGGGTTTCTACTATTGGTTGTTCAGGGCTGGATTTTTAGCAGACCATGTCCGTTTTCCAGAACAAATCATTCTAACGCTTTTCCCGCTGGGTTCTGCCATTCTGAAGTCAGAGCGAGGAACAACTAGCTGGAGGAGACCGGCATTGAAATGCTCCACTCTGCAAATAAAACTTCACGAGTGCTTTGTCCTGTTTCAGATGCTTTGGTTGGGATTAGTTTGCCGGTACTTCTCCAAAATTATGATTATTGATCGGGATCTTCGACGATCCATCATCCCAATAGCCAACTGGAAATATGAAGGTGATTGACATAAATTATTTTTATTTTCCACCTGGGCAATCGAAAACAGATCAACGAGGTAAGGAGATCTGCCGGGTCTGTCTGCCTTGAGCAGTTGTCGTTCAAGAGGACAAAGAAATACAGCCCGTGCACCAACCATCCAATATTTCGTGAAACCAATATCCAGATTGCCGCCGGAAACGACAGCACCAACTTCCTCGATGACCATGTGGCAACCTCATTTACTCCCAAAAGCATACGCCACGAATTCTCGTGTAACCAAGCGCTTTTCATAGCATTCTGAGCTTCTCCTCGCCTGCAGACAGCATAAGTTATCTCCAATACAGCCGCATGTATGCAGATATGCAGATTGGCGGCACTTTCAGCAGGCGACACGCCGATGACAAGAGATCTATCAGATCTCCCTAACCTTCCTGCCCTTGGAGACTTAAAAATGTGTCGAACATCATTCTCCCTTTTACTGGATGATTGTTAGATCCCGTACGATCACCAGCAGGGGATCATATGGGTTGAGAAGAATGTTGGTTTCCTTACTTCTCAAGGCGGGCTGAGCTGATATGATTCTGCGCTAGCTCCATCCGCAATTATGATCGCCGCGGCATTCAAGGGATCCCGCAAGAAAGGAGGATGGTGACATGGGCCATGAAGCTTAACTCCATCTTTGATAATGATTGATGATTGATGAGGATGGGGAGGATGCTAGGAAATAATTTTTTTTTTTTTTTCCCTCTTAGGCGAGATTTACGCCAATAATAATCCATATCGGAACTTTACCAGTTCCTTGATGTCAAAGTCTAACCGTCTCAGCCAATAGACAATAGACCAGCATTCACTCCATATCGTGATATGTGATATTTAAAAGCTACGAGAAGACAGGCTCCCATGACTTCCGTGGCTTTCAGCCCATCTACGGCGTATCTGAGGGCTAACTAAGCCTCTGCAAGGGTTAAAAATATAATAATAATGCAACATCCCCAACGCTCTTCGATCACCGAAATCCCGCAAAAAATGAATTATGTGGTGGACGCACTCAACAGCCACATGGGCGGTTCAGACATAATTTTGCCGGCAGGATAGGGGGATTGAGGCGTTTGTTCACTTTTCCCAGAGAAACGCCAACCTGATCGATGATGGCCTCATTTCCCAGCAGGAACTTCCCACAAAACTCAAAAACGAATGTATTTTACACGGGCCTACGCTGTATGTTTGTCCACGCTGGGCTTTGTTACACCAGAGACGCAGTGCATGCATGCATGGGAACCCATGTGTTGGCGAAGCTTTTGTTTCTTCACGCTATGCTAAGTAGGGAAGATTCTACGAAGATGAATAATATCGAACTTGATAACGAGTTACAGCAGAGATTGCACGATGGACATGACTTCCGGGGTATTGGTTTCTTTCAGAGCTTTTCCTGTGCTTGATTCTCAAGTTCTCTTCTTTTCATAATGTCAGGAAAATTTACTCCCACAACTGGGCGGATAATACTCTTCGAAAGAAACTTGAGTACAACTCTATCAAGGAGAAACTTTTTTTTCTTCTTCTTTTCCTTTCGGTAGCCAGTAACAAGCCGGAGAACCATGTTAGGGATTTGCTGCTGGGTGTCTTTGTTGCTTGTTATGGAGAAAATCACTGCCTGAACCTGTGTTCACTTTTCCCCACCTTCAACAACTTGCTTGGTCCGAACTAACTAATATTGTGATATTGTGATTATTATCTAACTATGCAGGTGACTGGTTTTAGAAACGGGTCCAATCTCGGCACCAGCATGATTGCGGGAACTTCCATATTTCTGATACAGGCTGGGGGGCTTTTGAGGGGTGGAATTTCTCCGATAAGTGAGACCAATGAGAAAGCTTGTTCCAGTTCCCGTATTTGACTCCCGCCTTTCTTAGCTGCGTCAGGATAGCGTGGTTTTAATCATCAGAACTTCTTTCTCGTGTTCTCTAACTAATGATTTCAATATGATAGTGCTGGTGCTGAGGGTGGGGGTGGTGATGGTGATGGTGATGGTGATGGTGATGGCGATGGTGATGGCGGTGGTCGTTGTCGTGATGAATTGTAGCAGCCAATGCATGAACATGAGGCATGACCACTTGAGCATGCAAGAGCGGATGGCTTCCGATTGAATCCCCGTTTGACATGGCAGATGCGGAGAATTGCAAACTGATAATGTATCGGCAGATATGGTGTTCACGCAAAACCTCAAATCCGTCCCCCATTTTCCAAGACAATTCTTGCCAGACTGGCGGGATTGAGATCATAGCCCGAGATCAGCATCCTGGAATCAAGCTAAGGGGAGGTAATTTTAGCTAAAATGCAGTGGCTGAAGGTCATTGCTTATTCTAAGGCTATCCTTTTGATGAGAATTCTTCAACGATGAGCGTTTTGTCGTTTATGTGTTCCTATTTGGGGTTAGATGATGCATAAGGTGATCTCCACTTGGCCATCTTCTGATTGATGAAAAGGCGCATCCTGCCACGGCGATCCCTGCGCCATCATGGCCCAGAGGCGTAAAGACGATCATCAGCAGTTAGCGCAGGCCCAAGAGCAGACGCTCTGATGTTTCAGCGTTCGTGTTTTTATTGATCACTTCCGATTTTCATGGCAAGTGTCTTTCCGAGGGCGGGTTATATTTTATTTTATTTTTTTCTTCTTGGGGGGTTGGGGGGTTACAGGGCTGCATGGGTGTTGGCTCAGGTTTTGCACCAATCGCCAAACGAATTTCTAGCACTTCATCACATCATCAAAGCAATTTGCAGCTGAGTGCTGAAAACTGAAAGCCATACTTAACTGCCTATCGAACTAACTAGCAAGCGATATGACATAACATCTTCGCCGAAGCAAGATGTTGCAGCAAGGAGATTCCCTGCTTACTTCGTCAGCCCGTAAATGTGGCACCAGTGATGACTTAGTGGCAGTCCGGCCCACAACCAACCCGAAAAAATGGGCCTTTGCGGCACCACTGGCGCATGGGACGATCATCCCACGTGTCCTGGAAGCGTGCTCCACCTGTGAAGGCTGCTCTGCGTGCCCTGTCCCGTGAAGCCTGGACAGTGGACACAGGAGGAGGTTGCACCCGCTCGCCCGTCAGCGCCGCCAGCTCGAGCCAGTCTGACTGCGGAGAGAGCTGAGAGCGGTGGTCATCGTAAGTAGTGGCTCGGCGCGGAGAATATTGGCTCTCCCCATCATCTCTTTATATCAAATAAAACATCAACCAAGTACTGAATATGTTGATATTTATATGACGCAGATAGCTAAGATCAATAGGAAATACCCAAACATAATTTCTTGTTCAATATTTGGTTGATTCACCCTTAGGATTAATAACAGCCTTCATCCTTTGAGGAAAGAAGTCTATTAAAGCCTGTATCTCCTTCCGTGTAATCGAATCCCATATCAATTGGAATTCCCTTCTCGTCTCTGCTTTGGATTGTATTTGATGTCTTATCTTTGATATGTGGAGCTTCATGATTGTTCATAGATCCTCAATAGAATTTAAATCAGGACTTTGTGCAGGCCATTTCATCTGCTCCATCTGTTAATCCTCCATCCACTCTTTTATCAGCGTAGAGGTATGATAAATCATATTGACCACCATCCTCTGCTCAAAGAGCAATTCCACTTTTTTTTTTTTTTTTTTTTTTTTTTTAATGTGAATGTAATGAAGATATTGTCTTGCAGCATTGTGAGATAGTTGATGATTTTGGACGGATAAGAAAGATGGATAGTGGGTGGATCCTCGCAGTAGACAATAGAGGAAATGATTGCGTGAGACAGCTTTAAAACTTTAGATATACAAAAGAATGCTTCTGCTTCTGAAGATGTAAAACCGTACTCATAATAACTGCAGCGTGCCCTCTCCTCAATGTTTAAGGCTTAGGACATATATTTTGGCCCATCGAATGGATGTTGGATCAGAGAGAAATCAAGGAAGAAGAGGGGTATAAAGCGGGGTTGACGGCGCTGGGCCACTAGTACGATGACTTATTGGACACTCCTGAACATGTACAGTACCTGATCCATTCCCAACAAAAAATCCAAGCCCATGGCACGACATGGCGCCATGGTTATTAACACGAGCGCTATCAAACTCTCTCAAATTTCCGAGCCGAAAGGGCTGGCCCTTTTTCAATTCAGGAATTTGTTGCCCGACCCGTCACAGAGGTGGTGACAATTGCATTGTCAACTTGTCTCATTGGATTTTTGAGATCAACCCTGCATCAACCCGTGGAAAATGGCATTTTTCAATTGATGAATATTCCTTAGCATTGTTCGGTATTTGGACCTGATTTCTGAGATGCAATGCTTTCTGGACTGGTATATTGTTGCGCAATAGATGCCGATAATAATGTTTCACACTTGCGCCTCACTGGACCATCGCAGCCAAGCTACACATCGTGGAATTAAATCCAATTTCCTCTGTTTGAATTGCGAATACATTCCCACCCCGGCTTGGCGAGGGGTTTTGAAGAGATATCCGTGCTGAGAATGAACATCCCTGGACCTGTATTCCTTCGTTTCCACTTTATGAGGTCTGCGAAATATGTTCACCAGACCGCATAACAAATCGCTAACTCGTGTAGTTGAAAAGCTGGGTGGACCCGGACTTGGCATCCAAGATTTTTAAACGATTTTGAGTGAGGGGCTCCGAAATTGCCTTTGAAATAAACCTTGCTGGAGGAGTTCCAGAAGGTCCAGGAAAACCCTCTCACGGCAGGGAGTTCATCCTTGTTGACCCAAAAGTGATCATCGATTTCACTTTGATTTATTTGTAGATGATTAGAGATTCCTGCTGGCGTCGCTGTTGCTTCAAACCTCAACTCGTCTCCCCCCCCCAAAGTGTATGTTTCTCATATGCCCAATTTGTCCAATTCTCCAAATTGAACCCCAAATCCCCAAATTCTTGGGAGAGTGGCACAAGCTCTGAAAATGGGATTTTGTTCGCACAAAGTGCGTAATTTGCGGGATCCCATGCCTGACTCTTAAGCCAAGACGGCACAATGTGGTATTGGAGAGATGTTGATAATTAGTTATTGAGAATCATTTCGTAATAACAATAGTCTGTCGGCACTGATTCACTCCTGAACAGACATATTGGTTTGTTTCCAAACCAACCACTGTATTTTAAACGAAATTAACAGGGATTGGGGGATCTGCAACTTGCATGGAGCAGGCAAAAACCAGCCATACATTCTATTTTAAGGCAAGCCGACCATCTCTGACTGTGAACGCCCGTCTCACGTGGAAGGGGTAAATCAACCGCCGAATCATGGAGAGAGTGGAGTCTAGCGGTTTTTCCCAGGTGTTCTGGATGCTGATAACCAAGACACAGAGAGTTTGTAAGAAAGCATGCTGTGGGCGCAGCAAGGGAAGACCATCCCGGAAATATCCTCCTTCGATTCAATATCATAAAATTCATAAATTAGCTTTCATATGATGTGAGCCTCCAAGCCTTCATTCCAGGATTCTTCAAAAAAAAAAAAAAAAAAAATCCCTTTGGAATCTGGATCAAGGTTTTCCGTTTTCTGGCACCCAGAAACCCATTTACCGTTCAAATCACACCCGCAATTGCACATGACTTGGCCAAAGAAGAGTGAATATATATCTTCAATTCGGCTCTGTCTTCCCCAAGCAACCTTCCTGGGGGCGCAGTTTGAGGTCTTCCTGATGATGCTGTGTGAAATGCCGGAGCATTGGCACTCGAGCAAGCTAGAAATCACGTGTTGTGGAATACAACATCGACAACCCCCATTCATACTCCACAAGCAGTATCATTGCCTCAAAATGTTCAGGTCGTCAGCAGGAAGCATGATCTATCGGGATTTGTGCCCCGTCTCCTTGCCCCGTCTACTAGCGCTTTTCATAACGGGTGCGCGTATCAATGCCAATCACCGCTTTGACCTCTCTTCCCCTCGCACTTCGGTGAAGCCGCGTCGGAGAAGAAAGTCCCGAATGCCTGGCAAGCTTTCACCCTGACCAGACTTCCAAGCGAGATGCGCCAAGCTATTAGACCCTGTCTCAGATCCGACTTTTGGTCTGCCCGTCTTATGGCTGATGCTTTAGGCCCACAGAACAAATGAAAAGTCCCCGAGAGCTTCGAAAGGAACAACCAAACCAAGGGGGAGGGCCCATGCCATGGCTTCATCCTCAAGCACCTTGGCAGGCATTGCCAACGAATCAACTAAAGAGGGCTGACTGGGCCTGCGGCAATCCATTCTCCCTTTGGTCCACGGAATTGGGGCATCAGAACAGCCATTTTTGTCATTCCACACACAGGATCTTCGCCATCAGGGTGAACCAACTTAGGATGCCTGGGCAGAATCATTTTCGCAGCTAATTCATGGGGCTTCTTATTTGAGTGTCTTGCTATGAGGAATGATTGACTTTGATCGTCCGAGCCGTCGAGCAAAGCTTGGCGTCATTGGAATTTTCTCCGAGCCTTCGACACATTCGATGGGCTATTTCGCTCGGTAGAAGGAAGAACATGTTCTAGGACCGAAGTCGTTTCTCAACTTCTTCCGATGATAATCCATTTCAAATCATCCCTGGTCAGTAGCATCAGGTTATTGCTAGCATGCCATTCGTTGATAGGTCGTTCACCATGAACTTTTTCAAGCCCTCTTTCATTCCCACTTTCAGTGGTCACTTTACTTCTCTTGTTTATAAAATCTATCATCTCTGATCTCGAACTTAAGACTTTGTCTTTGAGGGTAGATGTTTCGATTTCTTCGTATTTACGCAATATGCATGGAGGCAATCGGGCCGGGGACACCCGAATTTTTACGAACCTGGGTGAACCCTTGGGGTCTCCTGCATACGCAGCGCGTAGGTGAGGCAGAAGGACACTATCTCGACCCTTGTCCAAAGTGCATTCAATCCTCGGCCGAGCGAATGGAGCCTTTGAATCAGGTTCACACATCGTTTAAGGTGGCGATTCTTACGTCTCCCCGGCATCCAATGTTCACAAGCATGTCAAAATGAATATTTCACCGCCTCTTTTCCCACACGCAAATCTGGGAATAGATCGATATTTAGGCCAGCCTGTTGAGCAGCAGCGTGGCTTCTCAACTATCTCTCGAAGAGATCCTGTTTACGCAAGTGACCACTTCATGGATGCGAGTCACTTCTCATGGCGTGTGTACCTCCGGTGAACATGTATCAACATTTGCTGGTCTGGCACCGGCTACTTAGCCGCTACCTCCCACCTCTTCATGCATAGGTTTTGTAACGTCATGGATTTTTTTAATTTACTTTTATCTTGCTCATGTTATCCCTTCAAGACAGAAGGGATATGCCGTTACATAGCCTCTTGGTCTAGATCTATTTTCCCTATCTCGGATTGTGATATGTTACTATATTTCTCTCTTCTTTGACAAGGAAGGATATATTTTGAACAATTTCTTCCTTACGATCCCTGCTGATGTCACCGTTTCCGAAGCTGAACTACTGGAATTGCCAGGTTGGCAAGTCGATGCATGGCCTTGCTTATACTTGCGCAAGTGAGTCGATACGCTCTTCGAGATAGATCTACACCGGGCAAAAGTGGAGTTTCAGCTTCCTGGTGGCAATGTCGTTGAAAAGTTGCAAGTTCGGTTTCATTGGCTCTTCGAAAAGCGACTATTATCCTACGCCATTTGCAAGGTTCGTACATGTATTGTACATATGGGCGTTTTGGTAGTTGATCCTATGACATGTTGCTTGTGAAGTCGGGTCGATCATCACATTGAGTGGTGCGACGTGTTCCGGGGGATCAGTTGATCCCGCAGGTGTTGGATATATTTTCAGTAGAGTTGCAGGCATCTATAACCAATTGATGCTTCGAAATGTTCTGTGAAGAATATTTGATGACAGGTTGCCACATGCCACTGAAATAGTCTGGCAAGAAAAAGAAAATTCTTCTCGTCCTCAACGATACTAGCTTTCCGTTCTTGTTTTGGCGGCCACTATACATCAACCCCGTGCCACTGGCTTAGATTGCTACGACTTCTTTGGTTGGAATACCCCTCCCCGGGAATATCGAATGCTAACAACCCATCAATTTCTATTCATGAAATCCCTAAAATACCAACCGTTATCAACTTGTTTTAGGTAGCACTCCAATCCCAGTCTTCTTTCTGGGCGAAATGATAACTCATTGCCGTGGATGGTGCCTTGACTGCGTTTATTTCATCACAGTGCCCATTTTACATCTCTTTTGCTTCTTTTTGCACTAATGAGGCGACGGACAGTCTACGCCCCAGCTGCGATTGACTGTACTGATGCATTCTCTGGGTAAAACTATCCCACAACGGGCAACACCCATTTGCCTCGTACAATAGAATAAATAGCATGCTATACATTTTACTCTATCTTGGCCTGCCGCTCTGCTTTTCTCTTCACTTGGGGAAGGAAGAAATTGTCTCAGCTTTAGAGACTAAAATTTGCAATATCAAGGATTACGTTTAGTATGACGGTGCACTACATACACCTTATACAAATATATGTCTGTCGCTCATTACTATTATCCGTCCTTTTTATTTCCCCAAATAGTTCTAGGGGTAAGGGGTAATTAATCTTAGAACAAAAGTAGAAGCAATTAAGGTACGTGAACGTAGCAGGCGAGCGGCGTAGGTGGGCAACGAATAGAGTAAAAAGAGCAACCTTTGCCCCAGCTGATATTCAAGTCTCCCGTTTTTAGAAGCCCTTTTCCTACATATATTGGCTTAGGGCCTCCCACATCCTCGACTTGGAATCGACTGGTATAGCCCAGCTCGGAATGGGATATATTCAATAAACATATATTTCAACAAAGTATTTAAGGAGGCTGGTAATAGGACTTCTAACCCTAATGTGCTGGTTTTATTCTGTTGGCCCGAAAGATTTTGGGGGCCGTGCATGGTTCAGATATTCATTCTCCTTTAAAACTCTGTCAATATAGCTAAAGAATAGCTTGTGTATCTGGACAATGAGACAATATTGGGAACATCGCTGTCGATTGTGTGATATCATGGAGGATGGTGGCTTAATAGTGCTCAAAAGGCAATGAAGCCGAGCAAACATATTGTTAGAATTCATTGGAAAAGTATAAAGATAAATCCAGCAACGATAACAAGTTGGGTTGGTGTCAGGAAAGGGAACAACACACCGTTATAGATACCCTGCTGAATCGGCATAGGTGGATCACCAAAACGCTTTCTGGTAGATGCAAATGGCCTGTGAAATAATACATATCAGAGCAATACACAACTGTAGTGAGGCTGCATACTTGAGTAATTGATGTGTTTGAACTCGCCCACACAAAGACGGCACGGATAAATCCGTAACCCATCCATGAGACGGGAAACCGTAAATGAGATGCGCAAAAAGAGCAGCCAGCCAGCCAAATACCCCGAGAAAATTTTCGTCTTTGTGAATTGGGAGATGTTGAGATATGTACAACATGGTGATTTCGATTATCCGCACATCTTCCGTCGAGGAAAAGATATTAACATTTCTGGGCTGTCGCCATTCACCAGACTTCATCTAGACATTTGGCAGCGGGGAGAGCACCAAAGAATTCTACTCCGTAACCGGTCTGAGTCGAGCATGTACGTATTTCTATGTGTGGTAAACTAAGGCATATTCCGTCATTATCTACATTCCAGTACAGAATATGAGAATACAAATGGAGAGTATTCCAACGGCCATCTGCCAGCGCCTGAAGGAAAGTCGACATTACCATAAAGCACCGAGAGTAGTTGTCCGCAGGCTTGCGGACACGCGAAAGGTAGGCCAACTGTTTCTGAAAATAGGAGAGCCTTTCAGCTTGTAGTAAATAACGTCAATAATGGTGCGTGATAGCTGTACTGTTGCAACCGCAAACACCAGAATTTGTAACCGGAGAAGCCTATCACGAAGGCATCTGATGCCGATATTTTCCACTCGCTATGGTGCCCACGAACTCACCTTGATTCCAGAAGAAGGGGGGTCAGGATTAGGAGCCGTTCCATGCAATGTATGGCCTGTAGCCGAGTGCGGAAATTTCGTACTTTGCCAACAGATTCGAGATGTCCTGTTTAGTAAGACAACTGATTTCTATGGGCGCGTTTTGGGATATACCTTGGAAGACGTCGAATCCAACACCAGAGATTTCATTGGAAAACTCAGAAACTGACGCACCGGCACAGTTGGTATCTGCTATTGCGGCTCGTATAGTATGATTTGTCGAGTTTGGAGTCTCTTCATTGTAAAGCGTCCCGGTCAGTCAGGAAAAATTAAATAGAAAATGACCGCAGTATTCACTTGACCAGGGCACCAGTAAAGCATGTATATGATGGAGGATAGAAAATGGCACGAAGAGGGAAGCTGAATGAGTATAAAAGTGTCCAAGGAGGAGTGGTATCTGTGTAATGTATCTCTAGGAATGTAAGCGAAAAGTTGCCAAAAGAACGGAGAGCACCTGAATGCTGGTTTGGGCAAGCAACGGGACGTCCAACGGTAATGCTGTTGGTTATCGAGGCAGAAATTGCACGTACTCATCAGATTCCCATTCTCAATGAATCTGCTACCTTGCAAGTTAAAACGCTACCGCATTGTCCATATTTGTATGGTGAGCGTCGAAACGAGATGCAGCTATTTGAGAATTCGCCAGACAATCCCCGAAGACTTTTGTATACAAGAAAGGTATGCGCTTCCCGTAGTGGGAGACAGGATTCCTCTTATTTCTCTCGGCTGTCCGGCCGCGGGGTGTTCGGGATACCGCACTGGTGTTCCCAAATTAGAAGAAAGAAAGAAAGAAAGAAAGAAAACGCGCATGTATTTACATATATGCAGAAGCGTCATCACCTAAGGGTAAAATAGAAATGAGGAAAGTGGACGGAATCCCAACGAGGTAGCAAGTCACACGAAGTTCTGCTACAGATTCTAGAGATTGAAGACAGAACTCTGGCTTCATCACACATGGTGTCGACGAGCGCCTATAGATAGGTCGTATTTTTTTTGCTGAGGCCTTACCTGACCAGTAAGGGGTTTGGCGTGGTGCAAATAAGCAGGTATCCACAAGTAAAAGGACAGAATGGGGAAAAAAGCGCCATATTAATCCTCAGATCGCAGACTAAAGCTGCACTGCAAACTCGAAGAGAGTGAATTAGTGGAGTGTAGAAACGAAGTGCGTGAGATAGGTTGAGGTAGATTCGGTAAGATGAAGATGCGGCCGTTGGTTGTTGTCGTGTTTGTGGTTGTGGTTGCGGTTGTGGTCGGGAAAGGGAATTTTGAGGCTCAATTGAGATCACCTGTACAACTTGTGGAGTTAGCACAACACAACACAAGGAAAAGCCGTCAATAAACAAGACGTACGCCAATAGCAGGACCGCTAATTTGGCTCCATCCATGTTCATCAAAAGTATTGCTGAATCTATAACGAATCATCCTGTGCTCGATCCCAAAATACTCATCAGTGTACCATCGGCACCAAAGCTTAGGGTTATTTGGACCAAGGATCAATAGGTTATGGAAGATAGCAGTAAGCAATGGCACTTCCACAGCCTCTGGAATATTGCTGAGAATATGAAAGGACTTAGCAGGTGGATGCGCAAAACACAGTATCTCGTCGGGGAAGAGAAGGTTATGATAGACCTTTTCTCACCCAAACAGCGACCAAGAGTTCATATTCTCAACCCTTGAAGGAGATGACCAAAGAAAAACGTTTTCGATTATTTGAAGCAGGAAAATTTTCTAACGTTGAATCATGCTGCTGTGTGATTTACCAACCGAAATAAAACTTTACATAGCGCAATACCTATCTTCACAAAGAAGCATCAGCCGATTTTCTCGGGCAAAGAGTCGCTTTTATAGCAATCTCAATCCCTACCTCCATCGATTCAATGTTCGACATGGTCAGGGCTCAGCCTTGCGGTGGGCAGTTCGGCATTCGATGTCGAAGTTGTGAGAAAGTCGCTTGACGTCGGTGCCAATCTAGGGCGTGGGGATGTGCCCATTTTAATGTATTCAAAGAAACTTTGTGCTCCCGATATAAGGTCAAAAGGCGGTCAACCACGCTCTTTCAACCCGATGAGTATTGGATGGAATATGTCTTGCGGGTGCACACTCCGTTCCGCGAGGAAAACGATTCTCTGCTCTTGCTCCTACTCGAACAAGGTGCTGGCATCGACAGTACCTTCGCCACTGGCGCAACCCCGTTGTGGGTTGCAGTGAACCAGCCAAATACACACCTTTCTCAACGCTGGATAGCCAATGGGGCTGACGTCTATTTTGCTAATGATGCCGGCAACACAATTCTGCATGTAGCCGCGACTGGTTACAACGAGGAGGTTATCCGCTCTCTTCTTGTCAAGGGAACAAATGTTCACTTGAAGCATGTCGTAGGGTGTATGTACCCTTTTTCATGGAGCTGCCAGAGGAAGATTGGTTAACCAGCTCTGAGGCTACACGTCGGCTGACCCCGCCGGTTACTCAGCCAACGTGTAACCTGACCAGAGGGTCTCGACGAATATCAAAGCCAGCAACTGTGGGCCAGTACCGAATCCACAACATTACAGAATTCAGGGCCTAAGGTTCTTACAAGTCTTACAAAAGTGCGGTGCAGATGAAGGACTTGAAGACCCATGTGACGTTGGAGTTCGGCATGAAGTAGTTGGAATTTTGATTCAAAAAGGAACAGGCATCGAAGCCGAATCAATCAATGGGGCTACTCCATTGTTGTTTGGAGCCTTATATCATGCCGAGGCGAGAGTACTTCAGACACTCGAACTGATATCGTTGAATCCATGGAGTAACATTCCTCGAGATAGCCAAAGCTCGTCAGGACTTGATGGGTTAGGGTTAGGGATCTGGATCCAGATGCCCAATTAGCAGCACCGAGAAGCGATGGATAAATGTATGTCATTTGCAACACACTTATTTGCAAGGCTCGACGCCATTCTCATTTTGTAAGGTGTTCTGGGAATTCTTCACTTCTAATCATGCCAGTTATACCTAAGCAAGTTAGACGCGTTTCGGGACAATTCATTATTGATTTTGATCATTACTGTTGTGCAGTCCATATCTGCGCATATTACGGAATACGCTGAGGCGATAAAGCTTCAATATACACATCTGGTGACTAGCCTTGCACACGCCAGAGACAGCTCCAGTTTAGGTCGCATTGTCGTCCGTTGTCCAGGTTTTATCCCAAAGTACGAAAGTGGTTACCCGTTGCCTCCCAGTTCGAGTGATTGGAAGAGGAGTGGGAATGGTTAACATCATCCATCTCAGTCGAACAATCAAGCAAAATTGGAAAGGGGTTTTGAGCTGCGTCTCTGTGTACTTCGAATCCGAGTCGGTGATAGACCAGTTCTGTTTAATCACTGGCAAGGGATATAGACACCTACCGGAAAGGAATACTGACAATCATTTTTAGGCAAAGAAAGAAGTAATGGGCGGATATGTAGATGGAATGGAAGCAGGTCTGCGAATGTGCTGGACATTTCGCTTCCACAAATGCTAGCTCTCGATAAATAAGCCTTGAGATGTGATCAATATCGCAGCAGCTGGGGATCCTCGTTTTAGGGGCTGAAGGAACATATAAGATCGGTTTTGCGAGGCCCGATGGGCAACAGATTGCAACCTGACAGAGGTGACGGCACCCGAATCCCGTGGAGATCCATAGCCTCAACGTCTTCATTGCTGTGAATCGCTGGAATTATCCACGGCGACTCAACAAAGTGGTAGCGTCGGTGGCTCGCCTGTTCTAGTTTAGCTCTTCAGGGGCTGAAATCAGTCCACGTGCCCAGCGCCTGGAGACCAACGTTGAGCTAACTGATCCTGACACCACTTTGTTCAGCCCTACCTATTGTCTCTTCCTATTCTCGTATCTAGCACATAGTCATATGCCGCTTGATGCACTGGATGCATCTGCGCAATTCAGGCACACCATACCCATGTCCCTCAACAGAATTATGAGGCAGGCTCCCGAGAAGCAATTCAAATGTGCTGTTTGTGACCGCTTGTTTACTCGTGTTGACCACCTGAAACGTCACCAGCTCCGCCGTACGTGCTCTACGCCTCTCCCTATTCTCCCCCCTTCTCTTTCAATTGCGTTTTTATGCTGTGACTCCGGTGGGCTATGCTCAGATGTAACATAGATACTGGAATAAGGCCGTATTCCTGTATATTTTGCGGCACTGCGTTCGCTCGTTGGTGAGATCCATCGTATGCCAATGCTTTCTGCAGTTTCTGATTTTATCTAAAGCGATAACTTGCGTGATCATTATAATGATTGTCCCCAGCGTGGGGATCGACATATTCCGGAGACTAGCCAAAGAGGCAGGAGACGTCATGCTTGTGAATCTGAAAGTTCCCTCTTTCCCCCCCTCACGATCTCCCAGATTTAGTAACGTTTTCACTTGCAGTGCACTTCTATGAAGTTACGTTGTGATGGAGCTTGTCCCTGTAGCTCATGCTTGAAGAGGAACATTCCATGTACTCGTCAAATGTCGAAGCCGTGTGACGATAGTGAGACCAGAACTGGTATATCATGTCCCTAATTCTTGTGTGATTAACTTGTGAATGGTTATATGCGCTAATTCCCAATATTATATGATAATATTCTTAACTGACAACAGACTCAACGAAATCTGACGACTTTGATCAGACTTATGAGCGAGGCTCAGTTAAGTTTTTACTCAATGGAGGCACTGATAGCTTTATAAAAGGCTTCCATCTCCCCTCCCGCCATGACAAAGCCCAACCTCTTTCCTGGGCTGGGAGTGGCCATAGCCATAATGTGGGAAACGTGAACCAAGCCATGAGTACGCGGAATGCTGCCAATTTGCCAAATAGCGATCATACCAGTCATCCTGAGTCGGGTATCGAGAGCCAGCCTGTGGATGTCGCATTTTACAATGACGGTTTTCTTCAGTTTTTTAACCAATGCAACAACAGTACTCGATTTCATCCGGACGAAACCTCCACTTCATTCACTCAACCACCCGCGACTTCCATTCAGGATTTTACCCTAACATCTTCAACCGACCCATATTTTGAGCCAGAAAGTCATTACTCGACGAACTTGATACAGTCGATCCTGTCAAAATCATGGGAGTTGGGATTTGATGATATGACGTCAATGGGGATTGCGCAAGAGCTACGATCCTTGTTAATGACCCAAAGAATCCAAAAATTTATCGCCCTCTACTTTGATCACTGGCAATGTAACTGTCCAATGATACATCAGCCGACATTCAATCCCGAAACAACAGCATCTCCGCTTCTTGCTGCCATGGTCCTTATGGGAGCTACGTACTCAGAGAATGCGACCGAAAAACTTACTGCGAAAAAGATGTTCGATCTAATAGAGGCTTACGTTTTCTCCACCGACGTATATTCCCAAGACTTTGATATTGCTCAATCATATAAGACCACCCAATGTCAAGTCGATGTAAAGACGGACTGGAGGAGCTTTGAAAATTTCCAAGCGGGATATTTGATGTTTTTGGTACAATACTGGGGAGGAACTAGGACTGCGATGAATCGAATGGTAGAGGTTAGGTTGGGGGAAATAGTTAAGGTTAGTCCTGCCCGATGAATATGTTGAAAGTCATTTACAGTAATCAGCCATCTGACCCGTAGGATAGGTTGCACGTCAAATGCGATTGACAAAATGTAGACATGGCCTCGAAGAGCAAATGGATGAGTGCCTTTGGCTCCAGAAAGAGTGTCGGATAAGGTCAGTTGCCGTTGTAGCACTTCTACAATGTTGCTTGCTGTTCTCTAGCTGACATTATCGAGAACGATGGCGCTGTTATCAATGATCGACTGCGCAATGCCATTCTATCAGAACTTTCCTTCGAGATTGACGAACTGTGAACTTCAATGCGACTTACCTTGTCAAAAATCTCTATTTGTGGCTAGACATCCATTCCTGGAGCCAAACTTCCAACTCAGCCGCGAGATGACCGTGTACCAGGCTTTTCAAAATCTGTTCGTGGAAAGTGGGCCTGTCCGGCCCTTTTTCGTTGACCACTGCACAAACAAATTACACTTAGGGATAATGGACATGTTCCAACTCATCCACCGTAAGTTTATCACAGCATGCGTATGTCAATTCCTCAGGGGAACCAAAGCTAATATTCGCAGTAATATTCGCTCACATCCATCTGGTTATAAACCTGTCGATGCCGCGATTTGGAAACGGAAACGCAAATCAACAAGAGTTGACCACTGTTAGTGGCATAAAGGTCGCTCTTGAACACTGGCGGTCGTTGTGGATCTCCCTTCGCACAGAGCTTCATGGCGATGAGTGGGAAGGGGTGGGGTTCTTTAGAGGAGCCTACAATTTCTGGCTCGTATCTCAGTTGCTCATTAGCAAGAGTGCTAGTGTGGATATTCTGATGAAAATGGATATCAATTGCGAGGACAAGCTGAGCCAACTGAAGGCTCTAATAGCGGACGACTTTGATTAGTTTGTTTTCCTTCCCTTTATGACATGTTCAGTGCCATCTACATGGCGTCTTTCTCTATTAATCTGCAAAATGTATTCCGATGCGACCAATTTGTTGTTTTTAGCGAGTTGCATTTGGTTTCTGTATTGCAGTACGGATCTGGGTGTTGAAGTGCAGGTTGTATATTGTATTTCCTGTGTAAATGTTCTTCTCTATCTCTACCCTGTAACTTTTCATTTTATTTTAATTTATTTTTTCGCTTATTATTATTCTCATTATCATGTTCTTCGCTCCGTTCCGCGTCCCCGATATTAATGATTAACGCAGTCTTGTGCTCGACGACGTGCTGTCCGTATGCTATGGAGAAACAACGGTGAGGTTAAATTAAGCTCAGGGCTCACTGGACTAAGGATTGATTTGTCAACCCTTTTCTAGATTGGTGCGAGGAAAGTCAGCTTCCCGGATAATAATATATCCGACAGGATAGCTGACTAATCTCGCCATCGGCTGAGAGCCGCATCGACATGCAAAAAATTACTCGATAGCACGAAGGAACCAGCAGCCATTCAGCTTATCTTCTTGAATATATCTGCTCAAAGCTATTTCCTTGGTACGTTCCCCTACTTCCCTGTCGACTCATACGCAAAGCAACTACGTTGCGACCCTGCGTACGTTATATGTTTGTTCCCACAAATCGGTCATCCCCAATCTTGTGCGCACTTCGCTCAGTTGTACGGACGGGCTAATTAATTTCGCCGAATTTTCGCGCCTTATTTTGCTTGACAACAGACAGCTTGAACGGATTTACCCTTCCTTTCGTCATCGTTCGTTCCTGTGGATCCTTGAATTCTCTTTTCTCTCCACTACATTCAATTGCCCATCATGGATCAGGCAAAATTGGCTAAACTCCAGCAGAGTGTGCGGATTGGTAAGTGTTGCAAACACCAATCCCCCGTCTCTTTTAATGATTTTTCCGGGCAATACTATCTCCCATTTTCTTAATAGGTTGGATGATAGCTAACAGTTGCGGTGTTATTTAGGGTAAGTATCCGAATATATTATTACACGATCTTGTCATTGTCAAGCAGTAGGAGTACAGTGACTGTTTGATTATTATTTGTAGAAATGGAGAAACGCCGGTTCGAATTGAATTGATATTGTGGCGGTGGCTAATGATTTCATGTTTCTGTTTTCTGTAGAGGCAAAGGTACCCCACGACGCAAGACGAAGAAGGTTCACAAATCATCAGGAACCGATGACAAGAAGCTGCAAACGTCGCTGAAGAAGCTGAATGTGCAGCCCATTCAGGCCATTGAGGAGGTCAACATGTTCAAGGAAGACGGAAATGTCATCCACTTTGCTGCCCCCAAAGGTGCGTTGGAACCATCCGTTATATTGATGTCGTCGACATTAGAATTTACAATTCTGACGCTGCTCCTCTCTTTTCTGATATTCAAAACACAGTCCACGCCTCCGTGCCCAGCAACACCTTCGCCATCTATGGCAATGGCGAAGACAAAGAGCTCACCGAGCTTGTACCTGGAATCCTCAACCAGCTGGGACCTGACTCTTTGGCTTCTCTCCGTAAATTGGCAGAGAGCTATCAGAGCATGCAGAAGAGGGAAGGTGGAGAAGATGCCAAGAAGGATGATGATGACGATGATGACGAGATTCCAGATCTAGTTGAAGGAGAGAACTTCGAGAGCAAGGTTGAATGATCAAGGGAATGGACTTAATAAATCAAAGAACAAAAAAAGACAACCTATCATAAATACCACTTCAGGGAATCCATTTTAGCAAATTTCAGCAAACTATGCTTTCCTTCCTTTTGTTTTCTATTTTCATTCCCTTGTTCTATTTCCCAGCTGTGGTCAGAAAGACCCAGCAAGGGAAAACGGAAAAATTGAAGTTACTTCATATTATCAAGACTATGAGCCGAAATCAAAGCAGCGGAATGCAAAATTCATGAAATATGCACATTAGTAACTGGTGAGTTTGGTTATCATTGGGTTGTTTTCTTTTCTTTCTTTTAACTCCTATTGCCTTGATTCTTCAACTTGACAGGTCCTCTATTCTCTGGGCCCACGCGTATCCATAATCACTTGCTATATACATACAGCATCCAACGCAGAGTAGTGTGTGCTGTCCGTTCTGGTCCGTATCTCGCATGGTACAACCATCCCATCGATTTTTAAGCCGTGACGTCAGTTCCAGCTTTTACCCCCACCACTTCATTTTCGCCCCAGCGTGCAAATTCCGATCACCTTTTTTTTTTTTTTTTTTTTTTTTTTTTAGTTTCTTCTTAAATTAAAACATTGTAAAGCCTTAGTTCGGCTGGTTTCTGACGAATTTTGCATTCCCCCATTTTATCCTGATTTTCTATCTGCATGCTTATTGTAAGTGTGGAAAGGGAAAATGGTTGCGAAAAGGGGAGGGAGAGAGTGTGGCTTAGGATGACAAGAGTTTAGCTGCATTGGCATCTTGGTCTGAAAAACATTTTGGTTTATGGATGTATATAGGAGTTGGAACTCCATGAATACCATTCACAGGTTTAATGTTGCTTTATATACCGTTTCTAATGGTCCTTCGGATTGTTGCATCGATTTCCTGCCCGGCTCCTTTCTGGCCCTTTCTTGCCTAAATGAAGCACCTTGGTTGGAGCTGCAATTGGCAAAGAACAGGAGAAGAGTTAGGTGAAATTCTTGGGGGAATCTGAATTTGGGCACCCAACTCGAGGTACTTTGTTCTCTCTATGAATATAAGTCTAAATTACACCTTGAAATGGTTTGGTTTTAAGGCGGGTCTATGGTGTACGGGAAAGGGGAATAAAATGAACAAGCAAATATAACGCATTACGTCGTGGCAACATTGCATCCGGTGGAGCATGTTTAAAGAAAATGTAACATCTGCTCTTCACCCTTGAAAAGGGCGAGGAAGCTAGAAAGTGAAAACATGTCAGATGATGGAATAGAGCATCTGCGGATCTTGAACGCCATTTGATGGTTCCTGTGACAAATACACAAAACTGATGATCTTTCCAACCTCAGTGGAATTAAGTATATGATATTAGGACATACCCTATTGGACGGGTAAGGGGGAATATAGGATAGAGTAGATAAATGGCTCCCTTGACGAGACGATGGCAAAGGGAATGATGTAAATAACGAATATCCAAGTCTTATTTATCCCGGCATTTCATATGGTGAGGTCAATCGTCAATAAGGCTCACGTATGAAGTGTGTTCGTCGTTCTAGAGTGAATAAATACAATGCATTGCAGGCGTAATGGTAAGTTTATAATCCATAGTGCGAGTGATCAACAAAATTTCCACGAACCTTGCTGAGCCACACCACTTAATTCGCAGACGATAGATTTCAACGTTATCACTTGGAAATAGACGTAATTGCCAACGAAGGCAGAGGCGGGGCAAATTTTAGTCGGATATTGTCATTGTGACAGAGATGAAATAAACGCGTAATTAATGGCAATTTCTAAATGTATGAAGCTATTGACTGAGATGGCATTTCTGGAGGATCAGGACTCATCCTTGAGACCGCACAAGTCGGTTCCAAGAAGCTTATCGACCATGTACCAGAAGCGCCAGTAAGCATTTGACTTGTCATAATCGAGCGATCCGTCCTCGCGAAGGACAGGTCCATCACCGACGATGTCCCCAGTAAACCAGCTCAATATTGGGATAGACCGAAGGATTCGTTCAACAACAGATGGTTGGGGAGGAAGTGCTTCAGAAATTGGTCGCAAAACAGCACGACGGACTGTGGGAATGTGGGTCATAAAGTCAGATTCCGGTTTTTGATGAGGTTCAGGTTGGGATTGGAGCTGAGGTAATGTTTGTCGTTGGCGCAGGGTGCTGGTTGATCCTTGATCCGTGGCTGTGGCAGAGCTGGCGGTTACGGTTGGTGTTTGAGAAGTAGCAGAGTCATCTATAGTTCCATCCGTCGATATTGTATTTGCAGTGAAAGAGCGAGGGAGAGTCGATCGGTCAAGATCATAGCGTTGTTGAACGAATATGCTGGATTGAGAGGAAGCTAAAGTATGTGACTTCAATCGCGGCCGAACTGACTCGACAGACTCTTTAGGAATCGGAGCATCATTTTGTGGGCCCTGACCATGGTATAGTTCACAAAACACCATGAAGCCATCTATTTCTTGCGGGGAGAAGAAGCAGGCACGATCAGCAGCGACAGCGGAGTCAAATGTGACTTTTATCCAGTGATATCCTCCAGCATATCGTTTCGCTTTCTTGTTGGCATCGGCAGATAAATTTGGGTGGATAACAACGTCACGACCGCTCAACAGCTGTGGATATTTTTGTGCCAAATCGGGATCGTTTCTGGAATAATCCTCGCATATCATGCCTTGTGATATTCGCTCGAACTTGTCAATGACTTTCCATTCAGATTCTTTGTTCTTGTAGCCATAAAGGATGCACTCCGTAGCAACTTTTTCAACTGGCTTTCGAGGTGAATCACTAGAATGATTGGCTATAGACGGGGGTGGGTGCTTTAATTGGCTCTGTTCTTGCTCTTGTTGCTGCGCGAAAAGCTTGCTGAATTCCGCTACGTTTGGGTTTTCTTTTCTGGCGGGAGTTCCCGTTCGAGTTCCAGATCGAGTAGAGTTATAACGCGCATTCCTTCTTTTCCCAAAAGGGCCGCTCTCTTCTGGGGGCCGTCGTGGATTTCGTGATTCACTATCATGCAATTTAGCTTTGTTAGCTGTTCCAAATGAGGGAGTAAACAATGACAATGACTGCGCAAAAGACCGAGAGAATGTGGCTGAAATGAAAGAAATATATATACATAACATAGCACGGATAGAGCATAAAAATGACGGAATTGAGAGAATAACGTACTCTTTGTAAACATAACCCCATGGCAGGACATTTCCTTTCTCATCTCTTGCGCGTTCCTCCAGAGGAACAGCGTGATACTCCATAGAAGCAGAAATATTTCAGACGTAGGCGGGAAAACAGGAGTGACAGTATTTTGGCGATTAACAGGCCGTAGAGCTGAGCGCGATCAGGGTGGTATTTGTGCAAAAGTTGGGCGTATGAAGCTCAACTAAAAGCAAAATAAATATCACGTGTCTAATTAGTCACGTGGATTTCAATATATGAAAAGGCTACGGCGACGGCGACGGCGACGGCGACGACGACAACAACAACAAAAACGAAGTGCTCTGGAAATATAACTAACATGCAGTTTGGGTCGTGGATACACCTCCATGCGAACCGGGGCAGTTCCCGGATTGCTTGCTCTAAAATTTCGGCCTTATCTGACCCTGCAGGCAATTTCTTTAGCTCTGCCATAAGCTGCCATTCCCGTGTCGATGATACATCATAGCACCAGCCTGCCCGCTTCATAATGTTTTCCAGGGCGCATTTGTCGTACGACATCCTTTCCAATTGCCATATCTTGATAGCCCGGAGGAACAAGTCCTCGTTACCATCTAGGATTGATTCGGTAATGGACTGCAGGAATTTTCCTTCCTGCCCTGTGGGCATCGTGTACGGAGCGGGCGCCGTACGTGGACATTGTTCACGAATATCCTGTAGAGCCCAGTTCCACTCCCAATATTCTCCCCTGAGTACTTCCTTGGATTTTCCATCACGTCCGAGGTACGCTTGCGGGTGTCTACCCTGACTGAAATACATACCCACTAGTATCTCCCACTGTTGTGGATGGTCTCGTGAGAGGTCGAGAAGGAAGTCAACAGCCTCAACCTCCTGTTCATTCGTCCTCACTACAGAAGGCGGGATTATAGTCCTATGGGGGAGCCAAGTTGGGTGATACCGGGATTCGATTTCGAGAGATGGCTTCGGAGGTGAGTTGTTCAGCGGATATTTTCCCGAAGCTTCTGACCACTCCCAGTCCATTTTCTCCTCCGCAAATTTTTCCACCCATTCGCAGTCCGCCATCTCAACGTCTTCGAGTAAGTGAAACGACTCTGGGTTCTGCATAGGATGCCTATCTTGCACCTTTTGTTCAGAGTCAACTATGAAAATAGGCCTCGTTTCACCCTCTCTAGGCGTTTGGGCGGTGAACTCTTCTTCTTGGGAAATGGAGTCATCGTCAGTACCGTCAGTACTGTTAGAGCCAGATGCGGGTTTTCCGTTGCTTTTTGAAGATCTCCAATGGGTGGCCATTTCTTCGTCGGTGCAGGAATCACCAGCGGACATAACAAAAGTGGACAGCTCGCGAATGTCAGACATCCAACAAGATGGTATTTGCGCAGCTGGACGGCCGACATCCTTTGCCGATTGGAGAGAAGTCGCTGGCGTTGGAGTCTGTGTCTTTGCCTCCGCTGATGAGATCTTTCCCTCCCCAGAGGCTGGACATATGTATGATTAGAACTAATCATTCCGAAGTGTCTCTGATGTATTTCTTTCATGGCTTCTCCCCCATAACCGACTTACTCCTGTCGTCTTTCTCTTGCCAGCCAGTTCCATTCCATCGCCAGTTACACCAGGTCGGCGGTTTCAGCAAGGGGTAGATAGCGAGCATTGCTCTCTTGTATAGGGTGTCAATATCCATTTGATGCCCGCGGAATGGTATGATATTATAGGTTTGGTGTTTGTGTGTTCAATATAACCAAGATGTACGAGGTGGAAGTTGTAAAGAAGTGGAAGAATTCGAGTGCAAGAAATAACCATTGAGGTCCAAAAGAAGTCAACGAGGGAAAATATGAGGAGGAGGAAAGTGAAAAAGACGAGGGAGGAAGAGGGAGGGGGAGGAGTAGGAAGCTGTAACGACAGCGTGCAAGTGTGTGGGATCCCAAGGGTACC